ACGAGCACTGAAACCCATTTTCAGCAGGGATGTCATAGTCCTCTACAGATTCGAAGAACAGGATTCACTGAAGATCATAAATTTTAAGTCAACTTCAGTTGGACAGTATTGGCAATTCTTAGAGCTTCTTGGACTTAATGGCGTTATATTGGTTTCTCAATACTGCTATAACCAATTACTACAATTTGTGGCCTAACACAAATGTATTATCTTACAATTCTGGGGGTCAAAGTTTTAAAATCAGTCTCACTCGTGGGCTAGAGTCACCATGTCAGGAGAGTTCATTCCTTCTGGAGGCTCCAGGGGAAAATCTGTTTCCTTGCTTTTCCAAGCTGCCTGCATTGGCTTATGGCGCCCTTCTCTGGCATCAAAGCCAGCAGCATAGTGTCTTCCAATGTCTCCATCATCACATCATCATTCTGTGACCCTCCTGCCTCTTATAGGGATCCTTTTAATTACATTGAGCTCAAGTGGATAAGGTCATCTCTATATACTTAATCATATCTGCAAAGTCCCTTTTACTATGTAAGGTAAATAAATCCTCATGGGTTTTGAGGATTAGGACATGAATATCTTTGGGGACCATTATTCTATCTGCTGCAGGTATGAAGCCACATCATATTTTTGAGGCAAATTATCTTTTTGAAAATGGAAACATGATCCAGTTCAGGATACACTAGTGATTCTGGAATAGGGGTCAGCAAACTTTTTCTGTAAAAGGCCAAATACAGTCTGTCACAACTCCTCAACTCTGCCATTGTAACCCAAAAGCAGGCATAGATAACACAGAAACAAGTGAGGATGGCTGTGTTTCAATAAATATTCATTTACAAAAACAGCCAGCCAGATATGGCCCTTGAGCCATACCCCTACTATAGGTCTGGCTAAAAAGGATTTTGGTCAACCACTAACACTGAAGTTAATGCAGGAAAATTAGGTCTTTTGGGGAAGGAAAATGAAAAGCTAGCAAAGGTGTAATTGGAACTAATAATGTTATCAGCCAGGAAGATATCTATGGGGCTAGGAGGTGTCTTTATGATACCAGAATGTAAACCCGGACAAACCAGATCACTGTTAACCCGCAGATGGGTGCTAACAACAAAAGAGCCAGCAGGCAGTGGTGTTTGCACCAGGTTTTGGGAGAGAAAGCTGTTCTAGACATACAACCAGTGGATAACTTGACATGCTCTCCAGAAGGATTCCAACAAAGTTGTTTCCCAGAGAGGAGTGAGTGGCTGTGAGCTTAAGCAGCAAATATCCCAAAGATTGCTGCTGCAACAGAGCCTGTCCTTCACAGTGGAAGCCAGGAAGATGGTAAGTGGATCTGAACTCAGTGACAGTGGTTATCAGTAAGAATAACCAGAGGCTATCTCAGCAAGGACCAAGGCCTTGATTGAAGAGCCTTGATTGAAGACAGGAGTTCTTATATTAGTTCATTTTTTTTTAAGTTCAGTAAAAACCAAACTAGTCTTCCTGAAACTTTATTTTTCTTATCATTTTTATCTAAAAGAAATTCTGCCTCACATATACGGTTTTTTTTTTCTTTTTTCTACGTCTTCCGTATGTAGTTGCTTTTTCCACTGCAGCAGTTAAATTCTACAGCATAATCTTATTTGCCTACGAAGTAAAAAGGAATGCCGTGGAAATGGAGTGCTCCTTACAGCCAATTCTTTTAGGCATTTTAATAATCTTTTACTTTAATATCTTCAAGCATCATAAAGGCTTTTATTTTTTTTTCATTCCAGTATAGTTAACATAGAGTGTTGTAATAGTTTCATGTGTACACTCTAGTGATTCAACAGTTCTGTACGTGACTCGGTGATCATCATGGTACATGCGCTCTTAATCCCCTTCATCTGTTTCACCCACCCATCTGTATGTCTTTTTGGAGAAATGTCTGTTCGTGTATTCTTCCCATTTTTACTTGGGTTATTTGGGTTTATTTTATTTTTATTTTTTTATATTTGGGTTTATTTTAAATGTTGAGTTGTATTTTATAAAGAATATATATAGAATTGTATATATTGAATATATATATACAATACATTGAATATATATATATATATACACACAATATATATAAAGAATTTTCTTTATATATTTTCGATACTAATCTGTCATTGGATATGTCATATCCAGTATCTTCTCCCATTCATTAAGTTGCCTTTCAGTTCGGTTGATTGTTTCCTTTGCTACATAGAAGCTTTTTATTTTGGTGTAGTCTCAATAGTTTGTAGTTTGCTTTTTTCCCTCTTGCCTCAGGAGACATATATAGAAAAATGTTGGCTGCAGCTGATTCCAGAGGAATTACTGCTTGTGTCCTCTTCTAGGATTTTTATGGTTTCAGGTGTCACATTTATATCTTTAATCCATTTTTACTTTATTTTTGTGTATGTGTGAGAAAGTGGTCCAGTTTTCTCAACACTATATGTTGAACAGACTTTATCCCATTGTGTATTCTTTCCTTCTTTGTCCAAGATTAATAGAGCATATAATCATGGATTTATTTCTGGGCTCTCTGTTCTATTCTATTGATCTTGTGTCTGTTTTTGTGCCAGTACCATACTGTTCTGCTTACTACAGCTTTGTAGTGTATCTTGAAATCTGTGATTATGGTACCTCCACTTTTGTTCTTTTTCAAAACTGCTTTGGCTATTTGAGGTCTTTTGTGTTTCCACACAAATTTTAGGATTGTTTTTTCTAGTTCTGTTTAAAATGCTGTTGGTATTTTGATAAGGGATTGTATTAAATCTGTAGATTGTTTTTGGTAGTATGGAACTTAACAATATGAGCATAGAATATCTCTCATTTGTTTATGTCATCTTCAATTTCTTTCACCAGTGTTTTATGGTTTTCAGAGTACGATTCTTTTCTTCCTTGGTTAAGTTTATTTGTAGGTATTTTATCATTTTTGATGCAATTGTGAATGGGACTTTTTTGCATTTTTTCTTGTTTTATTTTTAAAATTTAAATTCAATTAATTAGCATATAGTGTATTGTTAGTTTCAAGGGTAGAATTTAGTGATTCATCAGTTGCATATAACACCCATTGTTCACTCCATCAAGTACCCTCCTTAATGCCCATCACCCAGTTATCCCATCCCCCACCCATCTCCCCTCCAGCAACCCTGTTTGTTCCCTATAATTAAAAGTCCTTTATAGTTTGTCTTCCTCTCTGATTTTGTCTTATTTTATTTTTTCTTCCCTTTCCCTATGCTTTGTTTCTTAAATTCCATGTATAAGTAAAATCATATGGTATGTCTTTATCTGACTTATTTCACTTAGCACAATATCCTCTAGTTCCATCCATATCATTGCAAATGGTAAGATTTCATTTTTGATGACTGAATAATATTCCATTGTAAACATATACCACATCTTCTTTATCCATACATCAGTCAGTACACATCTGGGCTCTTTCCATAGTTTGGCTATTGTGGAAATTGCTCCTATAAACACTGGGATGCAGGTGCCCCTTCAAATCACTGTGTTTGCATCCTTTGGGTAAATATCTAGTAGTGCAATTGCTAGATCATAGGGTAGTTCTATTTTTAGCTTTTTGAGAAACCTCCATATTGTTTTCCAGAGTGGCTGCACTAGTTTGTATTCCCACTAGCTGTGTAAGAGGGTTCCCCTCTTTCCAATTCTTGCCAACATCTGTTGTTTCCTGAGTTGTTAATTTTAGCCATTCTGACTGATGTGAGGTAATATCTCATTGTGGGTTTTTAAAAAATATTTATTCATGAGAGACACAGAGAGAGAAGTGGAAACACAGGCAGAGGAAGAAGCAGGCTCCTCAAGGGGAGCCCAATGTGGACCCAATCCCAGGACCCCGGGATCACACCCTGAGCCAAAGCAGATGCTCAACCACTGAGCCACCCAGGCATCCTCATTGTGGTTTTGCTCTGTATTTCCCTGATGCCAAGTGTTATTGAGCATTTTTTCACATGTCTGTTGGCCATTTGTATGTCTGGAGAAATGTCTGTTCATGTCTTCTGCCCATTTCTTGACTGGATTATTTGTTTTTTGGGTGTTAGATTGGATTGTTTCTTTAATTTCTCTTTTGCTACTTCATTATTAGTATATAGAAATGCAATGGATTTCTGTATATTGATTTTGTATCCTTCAACTTTTCTGAATTCATTTATCAGTAGTAGTAGTAGTGGGTTTTTTTTTTTTAAGATTTTATTTATTTATTTGACAGAGAGAGCCAGAGAGCTCAAGCATGGGGAACAGCAGAGGGAGAGGGAGAAGCAGGCTCCCCGCGGAGCAGGGAGTCCAGTGTGGCGCTTGATCCCATGACCCTGGGATCATGACCTGAGCCAAAGGCAGACACTTAACTGACCGAGTCACCCAGGTACCCCAGGATTTTCTATGTATGTTATCTGAAAGTATTGAAAAATTTCCTTCTTCCTTTGGATGCCTTTTATTTCTTTTTGTGGTCTGATTGCTGTGGCCAGGACTTCCAGTACTATGTTGAATAAAAGTGATGAGAGTGGACATACTTGTCTTATTCCTGACCTTAGGGGAAAAGCTCTGTTTTTCCCCATTGAGTATGTTTGTGGTGGGTTTTTCATATATTGCCTTTATTATGTTGAAGTATGTTCCCTTTAAACCTACTTTGTTGAGGGTTTTTATCATGAATGGATGTTGTACTTTGTCAAATACTTTTTCTGCATCTATTGAAATGATCCTATGGTTTTTATCCTTTCTTTTGTTGATGTGATGTGTCACATTGATTGATTTGTGAATATTGAATCATCCTTGCATCCCACCTCATCATAGTGAATGATTTTTTAAATGTATTGTTGGATTTGGTTTGCTAATATTCTGTTAACAATTTTGGCATTTACGTTCATCAGAGTTATTGGCCTGTAGTTCTCTTTTTTGTGGAATCTTTTTCTGGTTTTGGTATCAGGGTAATGTTGGCTTCATAGAATGAATGTGGAAGCTTCCCTTTATCTTCTGTTTTTTGAAATAATTTGAGAAGAATAGGTATTAACTCTACTTTAAATGCTTGGTATAATTCTTTTTTTTTTAAGATTTTATTTTTTTATTCATGAGAGACACAGAGAGAGGGGCAGAGACACAGGCAGAGGGAGAAGCAGGCTCCCTGCAGGGAGCCCAATGTGGGACTCGATCCCGAGACTCCAGGATCAGGCCCTGGGCTGAAGGCAGCGCTAAACCACTGAGCCACCCGGGCTGCCCTATGCTTGGTATAATTCACTTGTGAAACCATCTGGTCCTGGATTTTTGTTCCTTGGGAGGTTTTTTGTTTTTCTCAAGATTTTATTTATTTATTCATGAGAGATACAGAGAGAGAGGAGAGACATGGGCAGACAGAGAAGCAGGCTCCATGCAGGGAGCCTGATGTGAGACTCGATCCTGAGACTCCAGGATCATGCCCTGAGCTGAAGGCCGACATGCTTAACCACTGAGCCACCCACGCATCCCCCATTGAGGTTTTTTTTTTTTTTTTTATGATAGTCACAGAGAGAGAAAGAGAGAGGCAGAGACACAGGCAGAGGGAGAAGCAGGCTCCATGCACCAGGAGCCCGACGTGGGACTCGATCCCAGGTCTCCAGGATCGCACCCTGGGCCAAAGGCAGGGGCCAAACCGCTGCGCCACCCAGGGATCCCCTCCACTGAGTTTTTAATGAAGAGTTTTTGAACATTGGAAACTCTAGACATACAAAAAATAAGAAATTATTCCTCGTAGGAATAGGCTCATAGTTAGTAGGGAGACCCAAACAAAATAATAAATTATCTGGGAAATATTTTTAATTGTCCCAAATTCTGGTAAACTTAAGCAGAAAGAAAGTTTTCAAATGAAAACAGCTCACGACTCTCTGGGAGATGAAGAAAGCCCTATTTGAGTCTTTGAACCCAGGAATGATGCTCAATATCACGCAACATCACTGGCCCCTGGTGCTAGAGCCCCCACCAATGGAGAATAGCTGTGACTGTCACAACTGCCATCACCAGAACAGATGTCTCTGCCTCTGTGTCCCTAGCATCTGAATCAAAATCTGGTGTTGATGTATCTGATTAATGGAAAGACTTTTATAGGCAGAAGGGAATGGGACAAGGAAGTTATACTAGCAAAAAGCAGATTGATTGTGGCAGAGTCACCTTCCTTTAGGGGATACAAGGGTCTGGAAGGCAGATTACCTCAGTACTATTGACCAGGGAATTCCTGATTGCTTTAAGATTCCATTCCTGGGAAAGGCTGAAACTATAAAGTAGGTATTAAGTCTCAGCTTGGTGGCATGAGGCATAGTATAAATGACCCCATTTGAGGCTTTTTGTCTCTTTTTTTTTAACAGCCATTAGAGGAAATGTGATTGGACCAGATGTTTGAGAGCTTTCTATAGGCAGTTGAGAATCATAGAGAAACTGGAAGGTCAGGAACCCAAACAGTAGGATTATCTTAATCCTTCAGGGGCAAGTGAAAGTAGGAAAGAACATTCATAATGTAAGTGTCCCAGAGTGGGGATTCAGTTAGCCAGGGTCTGGGCCAACAAGATTTGGAATGGGAGGAGTCATCACCAAAGTTTTGAATCCAGGCTGGTTCTGGTTCCCACCACCTTCACTGGATGTTAGTCATCACTTCTGAGAAAAGAATGACCTTTACCTTCTCTTTATCTGCATCAGTAGGAGTAGTTAGGTCAAAAACCCTCTCCCATTAAAAGAAAAATCATTGGACCAAATCAGCAAATTGGTTTCTGGTTCTGGCTCTGCCAGAAATATCCATGTTTTGACTTGGATATTATAATTTTTCTTAGGCATGTGCTTATCTGAAAAATAAGAGACTTTAATTGGATTATCTCCAAGGGTTCTATCAGTTGGGTTAGTCAGGAGACCCAAAACATAGATTATTTTAATAGTACCGTATAAAGAATTAAGTGGGCATTGAAGAAAGGGCCAGAGGAAAATAAGTATCAGAGCTAGCACCTTCCAGAAGCAACTGCCACCATTAGGGCTAAGAGAACAAAGAGAGAGAGAGATAGAGTTCTGCATTTCAACAAAACATAGGAGGTGCCCCACAGAGCTAAAACCCAGGCTTCTGGGAAGGTGTGCTGCTAGTGTCTCTGAGGAGCATGATGACCCTGGTTTCAGGAACACTGTACAAACTGAGATCCGTGCTGCTCCCTGTAGGACCTTTGCTGGAGACAACTTTCTTAGGGTGATGCTGATGGGAACAGAGCAAATAGGAAAAATCCCTTCCTCATCCAGTCTTGCAGCTATTATATGCTTCCTGCAGGAAGTTTCAGCCTCTGAGCATCTAATAGCTAAAATGATGAATATAATAAATATAATAAAATATATATTATACAATATATAAATATAATTTCATCACTGAAATGGAAGTAAATACTGAACCCAAAGTAATGTGAAACAAAAAACCTTGGAAAATGATTATCAAAGCTTAGGGTCACTTCTGAAACCTGAAGACTTTGACCTTTGTTGACAATACAGGATGCCAAGATAAGAGATAAAGCCAACGCCTGTCAGGATGGACAGTATAATAGGAGACCCTGTGTTAAACCTGGACCCAGAAGGTAGACAAACCTATATTTGTAGTATATAGGTAGATAAGGAATAAACCCTGCCATGCAGGAGTCAACAAGGCAACGTGTCTATCTCCAACTTGACACTATGTCAAGGGGAGGAGTCTCCCTTCAGAATTTGTAAACCACAAGTTGGTTCTTATCCAAAATTATGGTCTGAAGTCATGCTAACTGTATGGTTTGAAACTCCTAGTGGAGAATTTAATTCAAATTGGTTCTGGTTAATGCCTCGAAGTAACAGGCAAAAGCTTTCCCAGTTCCATTTAGGAGAGCTCAGGTTCAACTCAGTATTTTACCTGTGAGCATTCTTTGAAGGCTAAGGAGAGTGAGCAGCTTAGTTAAAATTCACAAGGCATACAAAGAAATAAAGCACCATGACACCTCAGTAGCAACCAGGGAAACATAAAACCTCAATGAGATACCAATTCATACTCATCAGACTGACAAAAAGTGTATTAAATTGGCATTACTAAGTTGGCATTACCTAGTATATACATGTAAACAGGTACATGCACCCCATTCCTACATTATATCCCTAAAGAAATTCTTACACATATATCTCAGAAGTTATCAGAATGTTCCTAGCAGTATTATACATAATAGGAGAGAAAAAAAAAACCCTAGACATAACCCTACTGACCAACATTAAAATGGATATATTATGACATATTCACACACTGCCATACCGCAGAAGTGCAGAATGAACCAGCCTCACTACATGCATCAACATGGATAAATCTCAAAAATAATATTGAAAAAAAGCCATAGAAAAACGTGTCAAGTATGAGTCAGGCCAGTTACATAAATTAAAAAAGGTATATCCTGTTTAAGGGTACATACCAAGTAGTAAAACTAAAATGAAAAGCAGGAGGATATTATTATCACAAAATTCAGGTTAGTAGTTATCTCTGGGAAGGTAAGTACGAAGGAGATAAAATTGAAGTGGGATCATCAAAGCAAGATTGGGGGTGGTCCGCTGTAGCTGGATATAACATAATCCTTCTTCAAAAATGTATATTTTACAAACTTCTGTGTAGTATCTCTCACAAAAAATAAGGAATGATCTTATAGTCCTTTTCCAGCCCATGGGACCTATTGTCAGAACGATGTGCTATTCACATTTTCAATGCCAGCTTCTTTGGCCATCAAATAAAAGGGGCCCGAATTCCTCAGCAGTTCTTGAGGGCTGCCATACTCTACAATCTTCCCATTGTCTAGGACTATTATCCTGAAACAAAGGAGAAAGAAAGGTCTTAGGAGCATCTAAAATCTTGGCATTTATAAGAACAACCAGGACTAAGTCATGGTATATTCATTGATAAGAGGCTACAAAGCAGTGAGAATAAATGAACCATGGCTGTCTGCTAAAGAGTCAAGCAGTAGAAGAATATATATAGTATAAGTCCATTTACAGAAGTTTTTTTTACAAATATATATTGTTTAAGGGAGCCTATTCTCTCCAAACAGGTTCCAAGATTACTGGTGTTACCCCCATTTTTAATGTAATATGTCAGAGTTGGAAGAAGTAGAAAGCTTCTAGTCAGAAGTCAGAAAGCTTCTTGCTCGGGAACAGCTGTTGAGAACAGCTGTTGAGCTGTTGAGTAGTTGAGAAGATCTCTGGTTAATATCAGCCTCTCATAGCTCGGGCCACCACCTCCCCAAACTCAGTTAATAAGTAAATACACAATTGCCCATTTTACCCTCAAGTCCAGTTCCCTTAACTGAGTTGGCTTTCATGAACTTCATGTTTAATTTTGGACAAATTACTTGAATTCTCGGTTTCCTCATCAGTAAAATGAGGGTGGTTCAACCTTTAGCTGTAGATATCCTACGGCCAGTGCTATTACTGTTGTTCAAGGGCTTGGTCCCATCTGTCAAGCTGTCCCCCACACTCACTTGTCACTGTCCATGATGGTGTGTAGCCTGTGAGCAATGGTGATAGTCGTGCAGTGGGAGAACTCCTTTTGGATGGTCATCTGGATGAGGTGATCGGTCTCTAGGTCCACCGCAGCAGTGGCCTCATCCATGATCAGAATCTTGGATTTCCGAAGCAGAGCCCTGGCCAGGCACAGTAGCTGCCTCTGCCCTATGCTGCAGCCCAATGGAGCAAAATGAGTATTGGCCTCTGAAGAACCAAGGCATAACACATGGGATGGGGTATGTATGCACACGCATGTGCACTTCTCATGTTCTAAACCAGACTTTTGAAATCCCTACTCAATTCCCTCAGAATGAACACCTAACAGGAAAGGCTAAGACAATGTTTTCTACACTCTCGTCTACCACAGGTTAATTTTAAAATTCATGTATCTGGGCCCCACTCTTCCCAAGCATAATGGGGAGGGCCCTAGAATGTATATTTTTAATAAGTACCCCAGGCAATTTTTATGTTTAATGAGTTTGGAAAACCCTAGCCTGGAAACAGTTCTTTGCATCACTAGGTGATATTCCAGCACATCAATAGCAATTTTAAAATAAGATGGGATGGCACCAACTTCACCACAGCAGTATTTGACCTGACACCATTAATATAGGGTGACACTGCATCAGAATGCCCCAGTGGTATTTCTTAGGGGCCTTAGCAAACCCATTCATTATTTTAATGTGTAATTCTAGTCTAAAGGCTAATTATTTGTTCAAGGCCTTCTGCCTTGATTAGAGACATAGCTATCTAATGAACATGATGTCTTGGTGTGAGATGCAATGTATGTGGAATTCGAATATGCTTGTAAAATGCAAATCGCTTTAATTTGCTAAAAGCCAGTAATGAAGGCTGGACCTCTTACATAAAGAGTCTTTGGGAAATGATGTGAAGGAAATATTCGGGAATCTGCTAATTGCTCTCTCCTGCTGTGGCCATTAGGGAACATATTAAACAGAGGGTGGCTAAAGTTCTGTAATTCTCTGTAAGAAAATTTCTGTAGGAGATGAGAAGTCACCCATGATGAAATTCCAGTTTTCTTTTGTAATATAAGAACAGAGACCCTGCAAAACTGTACTTAAATTGAACATTGAACCGAACTCTGGCCTGGCTCTGTCCAGCTGTTGCCAAGGTGCTGGTCTGGCTTTCAACTGCTGTCTCTCTCTGAATGACCTGTCTCCCATCACTCACCAGAGAAATGCAAGCTTCAACACCCCCAACCCAGGTCTGAAATCAAGGGCCTGGTCATGCCAATTTAGGTGTCTCCCAGCATGGACAGAAAAAGATGGTAGGATTTGTGGTTCTCACAAACCAGAAGTGTCAAGGCCCCCATATCACATACTGCCAGAAGGGCCCACACAACCCCTCACTTCTATGCATTCACTACATGACATTATTTTGTATACAATCAATACATATTTGTGGACCGAATAGACTTTTCCATATACCTAAAGACACACTTAAGTCCTGCTAGTTCCTAGATCTGTTGCTAAGAGAAAACAAATGATGGCATTCTATACCAAGGCTTACAAGTGTTCCCTGGGACTATACAGTGAAGTCACCAGGGCCCCTGAATCAACGGGTCTGTCTCCCCAAGTGATTCTAGTGTGTAGCCTGATTAAGAATCAGTGCTCTAGGAAGCACTTCTTAAGCTTTAATGTACACATACATCACCTGAGAAGCTTCAAAATGTGGATTCTGATGAGTAGGTCTAGAATCAGAATGCATTTATAACAAGTTCCCAAGGGAAGCCAGGGTTGCTGGGCCTCCCTTCTGTTCTGAGCTTCATCAGCTCATGGTCCATACCCTGTCTACCACTCTGAAGGTCCTCAGGCTTGGAGTAATTCTATACCACATACTACCTAGCACAAGGAACAGAGCAGTAGTCTCCCCCCCCCCCACCTCCTCCCACTGCCTGTGAGGGAAGGTGGGTTATGAAACATTACCTAAGGTTGTCACCAGCCTCTGCCACTTCATGGGACAACCCCAGTTGCAGGCCAGCCACAAATGATTTGAGGTGAGCCAGCTCCAAGGCCTTCCAAATCTCCTCATCTGAGTAGTGGTTAAAAGGGTCTAGATTCATCCTCAGGCTTCCAGAGAACAGGATGGGATCCTGCAAGTCAAGAGAGGGCTAGTGAGGCTAATGGCAAAAAGGGGTCTGGCAGGTTTTTGTGGCCAGGACAAAGCAGATGTCAGGACTGGCCTGAGATGCAAAGCTAGTTAGTGGTCAAGCTCTTGCAAAGTTTCCTCACTGAAGACTAGTGGACCTGCCACAGGATTGAGAGGAGTTCTTGTTTTTTTTTTTTTTTTAATTTGGGATTCATTTATGGATTTCCAAATTTGCCTCTGCATCTCTTAAGAAGGTAAGAGGAATATTCCACATCCCCTAGTGGAAACTCATGGTGTGGAAGTGGAGCAATCAGCGGGTGGGCAGGGAAAGAGACAGTACAGTCAAAGAATTTATTAAGCTTTTGAAGAAGCTGGAGAAAAGATTACATCAAACAGAGCAAACACCAGACAAACCAAAATCACCACCAGAGACTTGGCTACAAGAGCAAAGGAGGAATGGTTCTGATAAAGACCCACATACTGCATCCCCCCCCAACCCCCCCACCAGCCGATAAGCCTTCAAGGCTTATTTGGTAGAGTCCAGAGAGGAAGCCAAAGGGAAGCCTTTTTTGCTGATGCACTAAACGTTTGCTGGCAAAAACCTGCAGCAAATTCCCTCCCCTATCTTTTAACCATATCAAATGGGGGGAGTATAAAGCTTAATGGTTTCAAGCTTCAGCGGCAAAACTGCTAATGTTGATTGCAAAGGTCTTGCAAATCTAGGATGGGCTATAGAAATGCTAAATAATCATCTGCTCTATTTGACTTCTGTTATGTTGCTGCCACCTAGTGGTTAGATACCGGCAGTCACGCAAGCACATTACCACAAAATGCCAGTTATTTTTGTAGGTTCTGGAGAGAATGTGTCTTAGGGAACTAGCTTAGGTGTCCTGCGTAGACTGCAGAAATGACATTGTTAATTGAATGTATATCAAGAAGATGCATGTTTCCTGCTGCATGCGCAGAGTAAGTTCTAGAGCTCACCTGGGGGATGATGGTCAATTTTTCTCGGAGGTCATGGAGCCCAATGGAAGCAATATCTACCCCATCAATGATGATCTGACCACCTGCAGCCTCTAGGATTCTGAAGAGGCCATTTGTCAAGGATGACTTCCCAGCTCCTGTTCTGCCCACCACACCAATCTGTAAATACAGTTTCTTGCACATTAGTTCACCATGGAATTCTCTGGGGGAAAAAAATTTAGCCTGGGGCTTTCATAATCCCAGATGGAAAGAGGCAGTGATTGGCTACCTCATCTTTAAGTTATTCAACTGATTTTGGTTTTGGTGGGGGGGAAAAAGTGCCCAGATGTCAGAAAAAGATGCCTTCTCATTCTACCTTCTCAATTGTTGGGTGCTCAGAACTACAATGACCATTGGAAATGGACATATCAGCAGCTGTTGCTATAATTTTGACTGGATATTATAGGTTTTTGAAAAAAAAAATCTTTGTTTAGAAGTAAGGAAAACAGAAGGATCGGGCCTCACTTCAGTTGAGAACCTCATCAGCTGGACCTCAGTATCCTTACCCAGACTTTTTATTTTTTTTACATTTTTTTACATTTCTACATTTTTATATCAGATCCCAAGTCCTAAGAGAACAGAAACACCAGAGGAAGGTGCAGGACTTTGCAGACCAGAGAACTAAGTCATTCTGTCTGTTGGGACCACCTCCGTATCGCTGTTCTCCCCCGTTCCCTCCCCAGGGTGGCTGCTTCCAGACTTCTCTGCATGTCATGGCCCTTACAGGAAATGAACCCCCATCAGCCAGAGGAGAAGATAGTGCTGCCACTGTGCCAGCACCAGTGAGTCTGTTAGAGCCCTTGTGGATATCCTGCCCTCCGCTGGTGGCACTGTGTCCCTACACCTTCCCAGGGCAGAAGAAGGGCCCTGACTCTCTCACTCCCGGCAATGATGAAAGCAGAGTCCAGCTGCTTTCCACCTCAATGTCCAACTGTGTTCTTATCACAAGGATCCACATTCAGGCCTTCCCTCAGATCCACCTACCTTCTCCATGCTCCTAATATCACAAGTGATCCCTCTCAGTACAAGATCCAGTTCAGGCCGGTACCGCACTTGGTAGTTGTTAAACCGAATCTCCCCTTTGCTGGGCCAACCTGGGGGAGGTCTCTTATCAGTCACCCAGGGTGCCTGACAAAGAGACAGCAAAAAAGTGCTTTACAGGGTGGCAACTCATTGAATAATTCCAACAGAACTCATGTCACAGACTAGAAGGATAGCAGTGTCCCAGTCACCTGTGTACATCTGCATTGACTAGAATTAATTAGTGTACTTCCATAAGGCTCCTACTCTATTCAATTAAAGAAACCCCATTCCATGATATTGCTCTGTGGACTTCCAGAACGAAAACACCATTTAACTTGGTGCATTCCAAGGCCTGACCTCCCCCCACACCATTTCCTATTCTAAGTGTCAAGAAATTGGGTTGAGTTAGAGTAAGGCAAACTTTAGGAGAACCTTTATGACTCCACATGAAATCTCTAGACAGGGTAAAGAGGCTCTTTTGAAAGAAACTTTTCCCCCCTTGTCTCTAGGTTCTTCTAATTCCTCCTTACCTCATTTTCCACTTTTATGTATTCGTTTATTCTTTCAACAGCCACAATGTTGGTCTCTATTTCTGACGTCATCCTCACTAGCCAGTTCAGGGTCTGTGTGATCTACAGAAAAACCAGAAGACTAAGGATCATCCTGGCGCAGAAACCAACTCAATTAGTCAAACTGAAAGGTCAGTCCAGCACTATGCCAAGCTCTTCGAGAGAGCAAGGAAAAGTATTAGTGACAATCCTCACCTCCTTGGGGGAAGTGATGAGACCAGTGTGTCCAGTGGCTGGAAGACCATTAAGGGCTCAACTGTGTGATGCTCTCATGAAAGACAATATGAGCTTGGAGTGGTTTCCAACTCCATCTAAGCTGGGGTTGGAGAGGCTGGCAGTTGGTAGAGTGGGAACAGGATTCCAATCTCCTGCCTAATGCTGTTTGTGGAAGGAGTGGTGGGTGGCATTCTATAAATGAGGAAAGCATAAGGAAAGGCACAGGGTAGGAAAATGCCTTCCAAAAAGCTGCCTCCTCTCTCTGCTCTCAATTAACAAGAACCCAACCGTCAGAGTGGAGCATTCACATCGATCCTCCTTAACCCCAATAAACTCCTGCCTAAAATACATCCAACCATCAGTAAGAGATTGTCATGGTCTAGGGCAGTCTAGAGTCTAGGGAATCTCCGGATTACTTCGATGCAAGCTTGTTTCACACATGGACTTAGACCAGGGAGTTTTTTGTTGAGCAAATAGTGGTTAATAAGAGGGAGAGCACAGGATGTTGGAGAGAAGAGTTGCCACTTTGTGTAGGTTGAACCACATGATATTTGAATGTTCTTGGTTTCTTTCAGTCTAATAGTTGTCTTTGCCCGATCTGGTTGAGGTTAATAAGCCTAAAAATAGGGGTGGGGGGCATGAAAGAGCAGTGGCACAAGGAACTGAGTACCTCTGGTGAACAACAGAGTCCTTTTGGGTGTCCTTCCATGATCGCCTTAAGTCTTATTAATTCGTAATGAACATAGCACCATACAGTACTGACTGGTTAGCTACATAAACCAATATATGGTTTCAAAAGATACCATTAAAGATAGCCAAATGACTCATCAAATGAGTATCATTTAGTGAATATTTATTGTGCCAGCCACAGTCTTGGGCACTAGGAAATAATGTCTAACATATAATACCCTAGTCATCCTGGGGATGCATTATATAGTTTTATTGGACTCTAGGTTCTTTACTAGAATTAATTCTATTCCATGATTTAAGAAAAACAAAAATAGGAGAAGATATTCAAAAGACCTTCTGTTACTACTATATTATGGAAAAGAAACTGAAATGCCTGGCTGGCTTAGTTGGTGAAGCATTTGACTCTTGATCTCAGGGTCGTGCATTCAAGCCCCACACTGGTCATGGAGCCTACTTTAAAAAAATGAAAAGAAACTCATTTATTCTGTTTTGACTAGAATCAAGCAAAGAGGCAAAGAGACTATCAGATTAAATTACATGAATTGCTTTCTTTTTTTTTTTTTAAAGATTTATTCATTTGAAAGGGAGGGGAGAGAGCATGTGCAAGCATATAGGGAGGGGCAGAGGGAGAAGGAGAGAGAATCCCAAGCAGACTCCATGCTGAGCAGCACAGAGCCTGACATGGAGCTCCATCTACCACCCTGAGATCACAACCTGAGCCGAAACCAAGAGTTGGATGCTGGACTAACCATGCCACACAGGCACCCCAAATTGTTTTCTTAACTCCCAAGGGCAACACAATTTTTGCCCATTTTCCAGATGACACTGGTACCTACTTAGAAAGGTTAAGGAATATGTCCCTAGGTTACACAATTAGTAAGAGACAGAGCCAGAGTTTGAACTTCGGTCTTCCCTAGTCCCTCCATCTAAAAAGGAATGAAGAACACAAACTCCATGGTTATACTCTAGACTCAACTTAAGTAGGTTAATTTAATTCCCAACATTCAGACTCACATTAAGTGCATTGGACAGAACAAAGCCCACAGTGTCTCCACTTAGGGTAGCTTTATAAATAACCATCATCAGGGATGAAAAGAAGACAATCAGGTTCCCAATCAGCTCCAGACGAACTGCAAGCCATCTGTAAGGCAACAGAACCAGAGAAAAAGGTGTTACTGATGTTTACCTCCTTACCTTAACCAGCAACTGAGGTGTTCATGGAACATTCTCAGAGGGATTGAGTTAGTAGGCAACAAGATGTCTCAATTTGACAATGCTATATGTTCCTAAAGTCTTTTAAATTAGATTTTAGAAAATAAACCACATTTTAAAGGTACTAGAGAAGTTTGCTAAACTAAGGGAATCCTATGATTCATTGTCTCCCATACTTGTCAAATCATAAGAATTGTCTGAGGTAATTGTTAAAAATACATAAATTCATGCAAGAAAATTCCTGGACTCTTCTCCAGGAGATTGATTCAAGGAGGCTTGAATCCTTGAAGGGTGGAGCTTAGGAATTCACATTTAAAAAAAATAAACTCTGCCCCTAACATGGGGCTCAAACACACAACTCCAAGATCAAGTGGCATGCTCTACCAACTGAGCCAGCCAGGCATCCCAGGAATCTGTATTTTTAACAAATGTTCTAAGTGATTTCTTTTGGTTAGGTAGGGCAAACAATGATGAGAATCCATTTGTAAGTTTAGAAAGTAAGCACTACATGAAGGTTCAATGTACTCTGATTTCATTATTTTATTTTTTTCTTTCTTGGAAAGTATCTAATAAAGTATCTTTACAATCAGAGCCCAGAACTCTCCACGTTTCCAGATAATACTGAGCATCATTAGTCTGCCCTTGACACTTCAAGACAATGTGGAAGCCACTCAAGAATTTTCACTTCCTATATAAAAAAAAAAAAAAAAAAAAAAGAATTTTCACTTCCTGAGAAAGACCTTCCTCCTTCAAGGATGTACCACTTCTTGCCAAGGTCTAATAATGCTACAGAAATGAAGAATGCTCACCCTACTCAGGGATTCAACTCATAGGATATGAGCTTTCCATTTCTGTTATCACTGGTTTTACCTAAAAATTCCATCATTTCCTCCCTCAACCTTGGTTTCTTTTGCCACCCTACAAAGAGCATCCTGCCTATGGAGAATATCACATCCATTCAGGGAAAGTCAACTACGAATGTCCAGTTCACCCAGCATTTGTTCAGTACTTGGGATACCAAATGCTTATAGATGTCATTTGACTTCCACCATAACTCTATGATACGGACTATGTTCTAGTCATTGTAAAAACAAACAAAAACAGATTTTTTCCTTAGAAGGTCAAGGCATTTTGCATAGCTTGGTATATAGCAGAGTAGGCACAGGACCCAGTCTCTGACTCCAAAGTCTATATTTTCTTCTATTTACATGACAGGCATATTTGGCCACAGTGAAATTCACATCACTGGTACACCTGCCCTCCTACAGCTAATGTCAACCATGTAGAACCCCAAGGCACATTTTTGGGTAAATACCCAGAAGCAACCTCACCTGTTGGAGATAATCCAGGAAAAGACACATTTCTGGTTGGTGTCAATCCCCACTTCATTGTGTTTCAGAAACCTCTGCTGATGCTCAAAGGCACGGATGACGGACAAACCTGACACTGTCTCACTGAAGTGAGAGTAAATTGGGGACCTGGTGACAGAGTCTAGACGTTTCAGCTGGCGGGAAGTAGCCACATAAAATATCTGGACCCCAAAAGTAAAGAGTTAGTCATACAATTATGTCATATATGTGATATCTCCTCCTGACCCAGCATCCTTCACCTTGATGGCCACAGTCCACATCTGAACGGGACAGAAGCCTCCAGCCTCACCTCTGGCTAGAGCAATGATGAGAGAGGCCCAAAGGAAGAGGGTGGTGGGGAACAGAAGACAATGAAAGTGAGGAGATTATAACCACATGAGAAATTTTGTCAGCCTAATCCGTATTCTCTCAAGAATCTGCATATATTGTTCAACCAACAGTTTTTGTAGCAGCTAGAAAAATGGTCTCCAAATGGATTTTGTAAATTGCAGCTGGGACCCAAGGGGCGTGGAAAGTAAAGATGGGTAGGAAGTGGCCAGAGAAACGTATCCTGAGGTTTAAATAAAAATTGAACAGAGTCAAGTAAGTGACCAAACCGTGCTTCAATGGTGTGTGAAGATAAAGATAGTTCTGGAAATGTGTGGAATGTTGAGGGTCTAAGAACTAGAACTAAATGTAATAGAGTGTGCAGATGGACTTTGAGACAAGGGTTGAAGGATGAGGTTCAGTGGAATGAGCTTCTATGGTGCTACTAGTTTCTGTGAGGATTTGTTGAAACCAGGAAAGAGCTGGGCACTTGAGAGTCAGAATTCAAAATGTTATACCTGGAAGTCTCCTTAAATATCCTGCTTCTTATTTGTTGGTTTGTTATTAACAGCTGAGAGGTTATTATTGACATAACAATATACCTGAGGAACTTAACACAAATACCAGGGGGTGTCACCTTACCATAGGCCACAAGGTTGCCCCTGATCACAAGTTTTTCAGAATTGTTTTTCCAAGGTGAACAGTTCATGCCTTAAGAATTATCTCCGTAGCTCCTCTCAACAGTTTTTAATATGAACATGGAGTCCCTTCCACTGGCTCTAGTTTTTCTGTGAGTCTTGGCTTTCAAGCTCCCTGTTCCCTTAAGGGTATATTGGCATTGAGCCTAAGTCATCCATAGACACTCCAGTAAAACTAGAACTGCCCTGAAGTGAAAAGAGATCTAGCTCCTGCCAAGAGACATCTCCCAGCAGATAAGCCTAAGCCAATCAAGGAAGCAGCATAGCACAACCTTTCTAGAAGCAACCAATGACCTAACCATTATGGGAAATCTTACAGAACTTCAAGACTGTCCAGAGCCAACCTCAGGTAGTCTTGGATCCAAACATAAATCTGCCCCATGTAAGCTTCAGGGGGGCAGCAGCTAAGGTGAGATTTGCTATGAACCATATATCAATTGGTGCTGACACTTGAGCTTCAGATAGCGGTCTATGGGCTCCTAGGTATATCAATATAAGACTAAATGACAAAGATCCTGGAGAGGATTGAGTGACTAGTAATAAACAAAAGAGAAGGTTCTCAGGAAGGAGACAGGGCTTTTGTAAGTAGGGAGGAAAGGAGACCAAGCTATTTCCAAACCTACCTGAATAGACACATAAATAATGCTAAGAGGAATGATGACGATGATGAAGACTGGAGTGGCCGTGCAGATCATGACAAGAGTGCTGATTATTCCCAGGAAACACAATATCCAGCTGCGCAAGGATTGGGGGAGGGTGTCATCCACTGTGGAAATATCCTAGGAACACATAATTAGAAGACTGGTATACTAATGGATTCCTATGCCATTTTCCATCTTCCTGATTCCAGCAGGGAATTTGTTTGATTCTGGGCTCCCAGTGACTCCTTCATTTAATCATTTCATGGTATTCATTGGCAATACACTCTTCTGCTCCTCCCAATAACCAATCTCATTTCTGTAATTTCTTCATCTAAACAGAAATGGAAGTCACCTTCCACCTTCACCTTTTTCAATAGACTTGGTAAAGGTTTTCACTCTCTCAGTGAGATTCTCATGTGTCAAAGTTATTAGACCACTCATAGGGCAGCCCCGGTGGCTCAGCGGTTAGCCCCGCCTTCAGCCCAGGGTGTGATCCCAGAGTCCTGGGATCGAGTCCTACATGGGGCTCCCTGCATGGAGCCTGCTTCTCCCTCTGCCTGTGTCTCTCTCTCTCTCTCTCTCTCTGTCTTTCATGAATAAATAAATAAAATCTTTAAAAATAATAAACCACTCATAACATTGCAAGCTAATAGAGCCTTACAGGTAAATCTTCCTATAACCAAGTCAATTCAATTAATCTAACTGTGCACAGGTCCTAATTCTACTGAGTACCTAAATAGAACCTGGCACAACTAGGATTCAATTTGTTTGAAGCCCTGACACCCACCCTTGACTGAGGAACCATCCTCTACTTGGGAAGTTGTTTTCTCTGCTGAGCATAGAGCTTCAAGTAAAGTGGGAAGTGGAGTTTGAATGTGACTCTTGCCTAGCTAGTGTTCTAACCACATAAACCGGAGGTGAAAAATGGGTCTTACTGCCATATAAGCTTCATGTTATGCTGAATAAATGAATAAACAAGCAAATGAATAAATGGATGAGTGAATGGATAATAGTTTAGTATACTTAGGAAGCCTGACTTAAACTTTGGGTTTCCCTTACCTGATTATTTCTTAGATTATGTTGATTCTAGAGTTAATAATATGTGAGTATCAAGGTGAGTTCAAAATATCTCTGGAGTGTCCCAAACTGGGTAAGGGATAACAGTTTCCCAAGAGAGTCCGGAATGACTCCTGACCTGAGTCTAATTTACCTTCCCAAAGTCATAGCAGAATGCAAATAACTATATGTCCAGGATTGGTAGAAAAAAGAAATCCTCACCAGCTATCAGGTCTTTATACTTTACTTTTGGCCCTTACCTGGCACAGATTCTCCATCTTTCTTTCTTCCACCCCCTCCCTTCACCTCTTAAGGGTTCAGCCATCAATCCTAGAGGATTCTAAATCAAACTCTCCTATATAGGTGTGAGCCACCTTCCCCCACAAAACTCACCATATAATCAATGACTGTTTCCTTTTTCATGTAGAAGCAGTTAGCAAAATATGACAGTTGCCTAACTCACAGTAAGAACTGTGTTCTTTTTCAAAAAATTATATATATTACAACATCAGAAAAGAGTGTGTAATTTTTGCAAAATTCCTGTGAGAATCTCCCCATCTAAAACTGTATGCTTTTTAAGGTTCTATTGAAGAGCAGAAAACCCATAGAAGTTGTCTCCTATGACATCATGCTCACCATTTTTGTCCTAGAGGAAAGTGATAAATGGAGACCAGTGAACTTGCCCACTTTTGAAGCAGCCACCATGTTCCCAGATCCTGGCTGTGGGCTGGCCTTTCTTTTGTCTGCTTCAAGACTAAACACATAAGAGTCTGTAGCTGTTCAGACACTTTAAAAAATGTACTCTCTCTTCTACAGAGGACTGAAACTGTGCTGATGATAGCTGTTATTCAGAATTACTTGGTTTCTGCCTCTGTTCCTAAAATTTCTATCTCGTATGCATTAAGAATCCATGAGTTCAGTCTGGCCCTTGGAAGAGAGCCATCTATGATCTTAACATTTATTAAGCATCCCAGCGCCGACTACGGTCCTTGGCTCCCGTCAGATACTCAATAAATGCTGTTGAATAAATGAATACTAAGGGCTCCAGGATCTGTAGTACATGGAAACAATGCTTTAGAACCTAACTAAAATTATAGGTGGCTCTCTTCCATAGTCCAGGCCTAATTTACTTAAAGTATCAAAGAGAGAAGCAGAAGGGGAGCAGAGACCAAGCGAAGGGTTATCCTGTTTTCCCTTTTATTCACCATCATAGCTAGTGATTGTGCTTTTACGGGTGTTTTTCCCTCTACAGAACAACCTTTCTCACTTTGTTTCTACCACCAGACCCCTACTCCACCATCAACCTGGCTAAATTCCTTTATGACTTAAGTCTCATGTTTTCTGACATTCCTACCTTGTCACCTGGGCGGAGCTAGTACCTCTTTTTTCAGTCATGTTTTGTACTCCCAGAACACCACTCTATACACATCATTGTTATTGGGGTTTTTTAAAATATTTTTTTTCTTTATTTATTTATGATAGTCACACACACACAGAGAGAGAGAGAGAGAGAGAGAGAGAGAGAGAGAGGGAGAGACACAGGCAGAGGGAGAAGCAGGCTCCATGCACCGGGAGCCCGACGTGGGATTCGATCCCTGGTCTCCAGGATCGTGCCCTGGGCCAAAGGCAGGCGCCAAACCGCTGCGCCACCCAGGGATCCCCTTGTTATTGGTTTTGTTGTATTCTTTCATACTCCTTTATTCCTTAGTAGTCTCCCTCATTAGATGGTGAGCTTCTTAAAGGGCCAGAGCTTTCCATCCCTGTATCCCCAGGATCCTTGGAACCTCACACAAGGTACTCCATAAATACTAAGTGGACAAAAGAACTGTAACTGCACAGTGTTGCCTGGAGGGACAGGAGAATTCTGTCCCTGTCAGAATGAAAAGATCCTCAGCATAAAAACACATCATATAGTTGTTTAGATACTTACACCAGCAAACCTGTTCACAATCCGACCTGTGGGTGTTGTGTCAAAAAAACTCATGGGTGCTTGAAGGATGTTGCTTAGCAGTTGCCTGTGAAGGATGTTTGATGCATGGGTGGAACCATGGGCACTCAAGAGATTTGCCATGAGCACAAACACACCTAGAAATGGAGCCAATTTAGTCAGCACAATGCACAGGACCTGTGCCAAGGACACAGTGGCAATTTTTATCCCTGAGTCTAGGCAAAATACATAGACTAGACAGATTCTGTAAGAGGTGGCTGTCATAGCCATCTGACATACCTTGAGCTAATCCCAGAACTCCATAGACGCCAATTCTCATGTCCCTCTGAGAGGCTGGATAGTTAGTGCCATTAAAGGCTTTAGAGTCATTGGTCCAAGCACTGAGCCAGAGGTTGGATCCAATATAAGCCACAGAATTGATCACATAGGCAAAAATGATGAGGAATATCAAATACCATCCTATTGCTCGTAGGTACTTCAGGTAGATGGAGAACTTCACCTGGAAAGCCCCAACCTCAGTATTAGAAATCCTAATAGCTTTGGGGGAGGAGTTATCTAGAATACCAATTACAAGGGGGAGTGGAGACCCTGGAAAAGTGAATAGCAGGTAGCAAAATTTGGTAATCTGTGGTCTATTTCTGCTTTGGGCCAGCGTAATAACTGAGGCTGAAATACAGCACAGGTAAATAACACCACATTATTAAGGAACTTCTAGATGTAATTGAGGGAGAAAGATAAAAAACAGTGGGGCACATCAAACACACAACAGAGTGGAACGGAATTTATACTGCAGACCTTGGCATTTGTTTTTATTAATGTGGATTTAAGTTAAAACCAAGGTCTTAAGTTTTATTAATTTGAACCATGTGCTCCCAGATTGATTTATTAGCATTCTCTGGCTCCAAGAATTGCATCTCACAGCAGTTCTGTTGTTCTCTCCACACATTAGAATGGAACTGCTCATGAAATGTGGTATGTGGATATTCACAGGACACCTGTCACTCTTGGAAATAGGATTTGATAGAAAGCCCAAAGCCTCTGCTGACATTTCAATGACAAATTTTGAGATTTGCAAAGCACACAACACATATCTCTCCTGTAGATGCATATTCAAGTTATCAAACTTTAAAATGTTCAGATCCCAAGCCTTGTGTCCTATCAAACAGTACTTTTTTTTTTTATTGTGCTGTTCACCTTTCCAGTTTGTATGAATTCCTTCTTAATTAGTTTTTGTCCTTTCACTGGTTCCTCCTCCTCCTCCTTCAGAGTATTCACATTCCGGGTTTTCAAAGAGTTTCTTAGGGATTTCTGATGTCTGCTCCTGGACCTGGAACTGAGCAATGGAGAGAGGGGAAGCATTTGTGAGCATGCAGGTGCATCCCTACATGTCAGCCTCTCTTCTTACATAGAAAAGCATTCCAGAACAGATGGCTGTAGGGAAACACCCCACCCCATCCTTCTTCTCCATTCAAAGAAACAAATGAAGAGCTGGGAGTGTCCCTGGTACCCACTCCCTCAGGAAAAGTCCACAGAGAAAAAGAACAATCAAGTGGAAACATGGAAGTGACAAGGGCTGCCAGCTGAGGAGATGACCAACCTGCGACTAAGTGTTCGATGAAAGCTGTTCTCTCTTTTCATGGTCAAGGAGGCCACATCCTCAGGGATTTCCTCCACACTGGGCATCAGCCCACAGTCATCATCTTCTTCACTGTCCTCATTGACTAGGAGACACATCAAAGGTTAGGGAGACCGTGACACAGAGATGCAAAGTTCTATGAACAAGGAGAATTCTTTTCTGATCTTGCTGGCCCCGCAGCAAGAGAGCCCAGATGTACACACAGTCTGGTATGCTGTGCTCCAGAAATATCACTTATTAGTACATCTTCTCATTGAAAAATATCAGGATAAGGGAGAGAGGAGTTTCTAGTAGGAGAGAAAATGGTCAAGAGGAGAGAAATATTCCCAGAAGCTTCTCAGTTTATTTGCAGCAAGAAAAAAACTTTTTAAGGGTTATACTAGATAAGCAGGAGAGTCCTAATTCCCAGAATTGACTAAAAAGGTAAGTGTAAATTAAACATGCTCTTCTTGAATTTCAAATAACTTGACAAAGTTTTATGAATTTAAAACATTTTTTATTTTTTTTCTTTTCCTTTTCGAGAGGGGGTGGCAGAGAGAGAGAGAGAGAGAGAGAGAGAGAGAGAGAATCTCAAGCAGGCCCCATGCCCAGCATGGAGCGGATCATGAGACTTGATCCCACAACCCGGAGATCATAACCAGAGTCGAAGTCAAGAGTTAGATGCTTAACTGACAGAGCCACCGAGGCTACACTGAGTTTAAAACATTAAAAAAAACAAAACAAAACAAAACATACCCTGCAGATAAGAAGGAAATTTTAAAAATTAAAAATAAAACGTAAAACAGCCTGGGCATCAGTAGCAATGGTAAGGACCTCTGGAAATTGATAACTCCATAAAAGCAATGGCAAAATATTGTTAAAATCAACTTTATACTCTGAAATTAACCAAAGTCTGGCAACAACCCAAGGAACATTTATTTAAGAAAAATGGTGAAGTCTCAGTAAGAACGATAAGTTTTGTGATACTTTACCCCATTCCCATCCCCCCTCCCCTCAGATCTGCTGTAGCCTAGAATACTAACAAGCTCACAAACATAGTAACTACAAAAAAATAAAATAAAATCAGCAGCCTAACTGTTGGAAGGAACAGAAGGTGTTCAAAACACTCCCAAAGCCTCATCCTGGCACCATAATGAAGTCTGACAATGGCACAGCAAAGACAGTCACTGAGATACTGATTACTCAGCAAGGAAAGGGTTTATTCAAGAGAAAGCCAAATGAGGAGAAAAGAGAACAAGTCTCAAGTAGGACTCCCCGAAGGAGAGTCAGGGAAATTTAAAGGCAAATGAAAAAGGCCTGGGTAAAAAGTTGCAGTTGTGATTACTAGTCCTGTTAACCCTTTGTTTACCAGTTTCAATCCCTAGAGAATTGTCATTATTTGACCTGTCTGGCAGTTCTCTAGAAAACCCCATTCACAGGGCTTATCTTTACTGGATCGGACTTGGAGCTAGCTTAAATAATCAGCAGCCATTGTTTAACTTCACAGCTGCCTGAGGTGATGATAACAGTTGGAGCAAAAAAGAAGCTAAACAAAAACTTAAAAGGAAAAGCTGGGGAAGAAGATATCCTTAGGGAGAGCTTTGATATTTTTAAGGTATTCCTGACAATCTAGAATACCATACACACAGGTAGGGCTGTGCACATGCTCAAGACTTGAGAAGGCCCTATTCTCTTATGCCTGACTAACCGTCAAGGATCTGGCAAGCAGGAAACAAAAGGTGAAATAGACTTGTGAACTGCCTGCTGGAGTGTTAAGGACATGCCTTCCCTCTCACTATGCACCACACACACAAGGCCTCTCAGAAAAAACTGAGTGACTTATTGGTTCCAGGCCCTTAAGGAAATCTCTGCCCAATCATTAGTTGACCAACCAAGCAGAGATTTCCATGGCCACATCTGACAAAGACTACAGATTTAATAAGAACTAGTTCAGGAAACTCAACAGGAGGAACTAGAGCAACAAACCCTAGAAATGGAAGGAGACGAGAGAAATCTTATTTCCAGAGTTATATTATTTAAAGTGACAGTTTTTAGGAAACCTGGGTGGCTCAGTGGTTGAGTGTCTGCCTTTGGATCTGGTCGTGATCCCCAGGTCCTGGGATCGAGTGCCACACTGGGCTCCCAGCAGTGAGCCTGCTTCTCCCTCTGCTTATGTCTCTGCCTCTCTGTCTCTCTCATAAATAAAGAAATAAAAATCTTAAAAAAAAAAAAGATAAAGTGGCCAGTTTCTAATAAAAAATTATGAGACATACAAAGCAAGAAAACATAAGGCCATATACAGGGAAAAAATGTATATACAGTCAACAGAAACTGTACTCAGGGAAGCGCAGACATTGGACTTATAGAGAAAGACTTTTTAAAGATTTTATTTAGCCCGATGCAGGTTGATCCCAGGACCTCAGGATTACACCCGGAGCTGAAGGCAGATGCTCAACCACTGAGCCACCCAGGAACTTCTAGAGAAAGACTTTAAATTACTATTTTAAGTATGTTCAAAGAACAAAAGGTAACCATGTCTAAAGATCTAAAGCATGAGAATGAGTTCTCATTAAGTAGAGAACATCAATAAGGAGATCAAATATAAAAAGAAAAATAGAAATTCTAGAAAAGTACAATAACTAAAAGTACAATCTCTTTACTAAAGAGATTGGGCATTGTGACTTACTCCCATCAGCCATCTTAGCAGAAATTCCATAAGCTTGGACCAGAGGGGAGACAGGATGAAATGAAGGACCACTGTCAGACTTCTAGGATTCTTTTTATTTTTTTTAAGATTTTATTTATCCATTCATGGGAGACACAGAGAGAGAGGCAGACATAGGCAGAGGGAGAAGCAGGCTCCCTGCTGGGAGCCTGATGCAGGACTCGATCTCAGGACCCCGGGATCGCGACCAGAAGCAAAGGCAGATGCTCAACTACTGAGCCACCTAGGTGCCCCACACTTCTAGGATTCTACAGACAGAAAATGTACTAATAGAGCCCTCCAGCTGTGAACATGTGTTATCCTTCAGCACAGGGGAAAAATGACCCTGGGATTGGCTACTCCTCAGTTCCAGAGGGGTTGAAACCACCAGCCCAGTTTGAGCCTAAACGACAGACAGCATCAAGCCAAACAAGATCATTATCAAACCTTAAAATCTGGTGGAATTTGCCCTGCTAGATTTGCATTTGCTTTGGATTCATAACCCCCTTTTTACCCTTCTGATTTTTCCCTTTTGGAATGGGAATGTCTACCCTAATGCCTTTCTTACTATTGAAGCAGATAACCGGTCTGACTTTACAGTTTGACAGATGAAGAGGAATTCTACCCCAAGACTCCAAGACTCAGCCACAACTGATTTGAGTGAGTTAGATGATGAAATTTGGGACTTTGAATTGACATTTAGATGAGATTTTAGATTTCAAGATGATACTGGGATGATATAAGACATTGGGGATGTTGGGATGGGGTGAATATAGTTTGCACATGAGAAAGATATGAATTTGGGTATGTCAGAGGAATGTGATAGATTGAATTGTGTCCCCCACCAAATTCATACAGTGAAATCCTAACGTGCGCTACCTCAGAATGTGACTTTATTTGGAAATAGGCTCATTGTAGATGTAATTAGTTAAGAAGAGGTCAGACTAGAGTGGGATGGACCCCTAATCCATAATGTCTGATGTCCTTCTACAGAGGACAAATTTGGACATAGTCTCACACAGGGGAGGATACCACATGAAGATGAAGACAGAGAGCAGTGTGATGTCTATAAGCCAAAAATGTCAAAGATTGCCAATTAACGTCCAGAAGGTAGGAGAGAAGCCTGGAACATGTCCTTCTCCATCACCTTCAGAACCTTGATTTTGGACTTCCAGTCTCCAGAACCATGAGAAAATAATTGTCTTGTTTAAGCCACTCAGTTTGTAGTGTTTTGTTATGGCAGCCAGTTAAGAAACTAATACACCAGGTGGGAGGGAGGGGCAAGATGGCGGAAGAGCAGGGTCCCCAAATCACCTGTCCCCACCAAATTACCTAGATAACCTTCAAACTATCCTGAAAATTTACGAATTCGGCCTGAGACCAGCTGGAATGCTACAGTGAGAAGAGTCCGCGCTTCTATCAAGGTAGGAAGACGGGGGGGAAAAGAAATAAAGGAACAAAAGGCCTCCGAGGGGGAGGGGCCCCGCGAGGAGCCGGGCTGAGGCCGGGGCGAGTGTCCCCAGGACAGGAGAGCCCCGTCCCGGAGGAGCAGGAGCTGCACCAACCTTCCCGGGCGGGCGGAAAGGGGCTCGCAGGGAGTTGGAGCAGGACCCAGGAGGGCGGGGATGCCCTCGGGCTCCCGGGGACACTACAGACACCTGCGAGCGCAGGAGAGTGCTCCGAGCTCCCTAAGGGCTGCAGCGCGCACCGGAGCAGCTCGGAGGGGCTCGGGAGCGGCTCCAGGGAGGGAGCTGCAGGGCGGGAGCGCGAATCCCACAGCGCAGGCCCCGGAGCACAGGGCGCCGGGACACAGCCCAGGATCCGGCCTCCCCCGGGACAGGCAGAGGCCGGGAGGGCCCGAGACAGCGAGGAGGCTCCTGCCCCGAGCTGAGCAGATCAGCGGCCCCGCCCCGGAGCCTCCAGGCCCTGCGGACGGAGAGCCGAGAGCCCCAGCCCGTAGTTCCTGCGGAGGCTGAATCCAGGCTTCCAGAGCTGCCATAGCAACTGCGGCTGTTCCTCCTGGGGCCCCACCGGGTAAACAACCCCCGCTGAGCCCAGCAGGCAGGGGCAGAGCAGCTCCCCCAAGTGCTAACACCTGAAAATCAGCACAGCAGGCCCCTCCCCCAGAAGACCAGCTGGACGGACCAGTGATACTCCCCCGTGTTCCAATACAACTTGTTTTTGGCCACTCTGCACTGAGCAAAATGACTAGAAGGAAAACCTCACCTCAAAAGAAAGAATCAGAAACAGCCCTCGCTCCCACAGAGTTACAAAATCTGGATTACACTTCAATGTCAGAAAGCCAATTCAGAAGCACTATTCTACAGCTACTGGTGGCTCTAGAAAAAAGCATTAAGGACTCACGAGACTTCATGACTGCAGAATTTAGATCCAATCAGGCAGAAATTAAAAATCAATTGAATGAGATGCAATCCAAACTAGAAGTCCTAATGACGAGGGTTAACGAGGTGGAAGAACGAGTGAGTGACATAGAAGACAAGTTAATGGCAAAGAGGGAAACTGAGGAAAAAAGAGACAATCAATTAAGGGACCATGAAGACAGATTAAGGCAAATAAATAACAGTCTGAGGAAGAAAAACCTACGTTTAATTGGGGTTCCCGAGGGCGCCGAAAGGGACAGAGGGCCAGAATATGTATTTGAACAAATCCTAGCTGAAAACTTTCCCAATCTGGGAAGGGAAACAGACATTCAGATCCAGGAAATAGAGAGATCCCCCCTAAAATCAATAAAAACCGTTCAACACCTCGACATCTAATAGTGAAGCTTGCAAATTCCAAAGATAAAGAGAAGATCCTTAAAGCAGCAAGAGACAAGAAGTCCCTGACTTTCATGGGGAGGAATATTAGGGTAACAGCAGACCTCTCCACAGAGACCTGGCAGGCCAGAAAGGGCTGGCAGGATATATTCAGGGTCCTAAATGAGAAGAACATGCAACCAAGAATACTTTATCCAGCAAGGCTCTCATTCAAAATGGAAGGAGAGATAAAGAGCTTCCGAGACAGGCAGGAACTGAAAGAATATGTGACCTCCAAACCAGCTCTGCAAGAAATTTTAAGGGGGACTCTTAAAACTCCCCTTTAAGAAGAAGTTCAAGTAACTCTGAACGTGAATGGGCTTAATGACCCCATCAAAAGGCGCAGGGTTTCAGACTGGATAAAAAAACAGGACCCATCTATTTGCTGTCTACAAGAGACTCATTTTAGACAGAAGGACACCTACAACCTGAAAATAAAAGGTTGGAGAACCATTTACCATTCAAAGGGTTCTCAAAATATACCCTAAAAACTACAGAACACTTCTGAAAGAAATTGAGGAAGACACAAAGAGATGGAAAAATATTCCATGCTCATGGATTGGCAGAATTAATATTGTGAAAATGTCAATGTTACCCAGGGCAATTTACACGTATAATGCAATCCCTATCAAAATACCATAGACTTTCCTCAGAGAGTTGGAACAAATCATCTTAAGATTTGTGTGGAATCAAAAAAAGACCCCGAATAGCCAGGGGAATATTGAAAAAAGAAAAACAGAGCTGGGGGTATCACAATGCCAGATTTCAAGTTGTACTACAAAGCTGTGGTCATCAAGACAGTGTGGTACTGGCACAAAAACAGACACATAGATCAATGGAACAGAATAGAGAACCCAGAAGTGGACCCTGAACTTTATGGTCAACTAATATACGATAAAGGAGGAAAGACGATCCACTGGAAGAAAGACAGTCTCTTCAATAAATGGTGCTGGGAGAACTGGACATCCACATGCAGAAGAATGAAACTGGACCACTCTCTTGCACCATACACAAAGATAAACTCAAAATAGATGAAAGATCTAAATGTGAGACAAGATTCCATCAAAATCCCAGAGGAGAACTCAGGCAACACCCTTTTTGAACTTGGCCACAGGAACCGGAGAAGGACAAACAGTGTATGTTCTCATTCATTTGGGGAATATGAATAATAGCGAAAGGGAATATAAGGGAAGGGAGAAGAAATGTGTGAGAAATATCAGAAAGGGAGACAGAACATAAAGACTTCTAACTCTGGGAAATGAACTAGGGGTGGTGGAGGGGGAGGAGGGTGGGGGGTGGGGGTGAATGGGTGATGGGCACTGAGGGGTACACTTGACGGGATGAGCACTGGGTGTTATTCTGTATGCTGGTAAATTGAACACCAATAAAAATTAATTTATAAAAAAAAAAAAGAAACTAATACACCAAACCAGTTATTGATACAGGTCACCTTGCCCTGTTGCCATTCCCTTCCCTTCATGTCATGGTCCATACCTTGAATCCCAGAACCAACAACAACAGCATGCCAGGCATTGCTCAGAAATAGTGTTTACCAGAACAAGGCTTGATGAGTGGTTTTGCAAACTGATCTTCGTACATAAAGGACAAGATTCTTTAAAGGGCCCGTCTACCCATGGGGGTTTATAACAGAATGCAGAAACTCAGATCATGGCAAAAAAAAAAAAAAAAAAAAAAGTTTAACCTTAGCATAAGGAAACTGTCAGAGCAGGTCATGGTGATGTGGTTAACTGAGCAGTAACTCAGGGGAATCCAGCATCAGACATTGCCCTTTGACTTGGGACCCTTGCTCCCCAGGCAGGTACTTTAGTTTTCTCCAGGCCTGTCCCTAGAGTACATAAAGCCTGACATGAAGTTCTGACCTTTTCCTTTCTGCTGGTTCCCAGTTCCCCTGCCCCAGCCTCCTGAGATAGCTGCCAATCCCTGTCACCCACATCATCCTGTTCTTTGTTCCTGCCCTATCCCTCCGACACTTAGAGAATTTCTGGTTTGGGCTTTTCTTTCCATCCTTTGTGCTCCCCAGGGTGGTTTTGAACCATCACATTTCCTGACCTCAACGCCTGCATGAGTTCCCACTTGCAGGCTTTATAGCTACTCCTTCTCCCAACTGAGTTCTGGAATGCACCCTCCAGATCTTGCTTTCTCAGGCTTGACTTCCTGCTGGTGACTGCTATCTGAAGCAGATACCAAGAACTATGTACAGGACTACTGATGGCAGATTTTTGAGAAGGTTCTCAGGGGGGTGCCTGAGTGGCTCAGTTGGTTAAGTGTCTGCCTTTGGCTCAGGTCATGATCTGAAATTCCTGGGTTTGAGCCTCACATTGGGCTCCCTGCTCAGCGGGGAGCCTGTTTCTCCCTCTCCCTCTGCCTGCCACTCCCCCTGCTTGTTGGCTGTCAAATAAATAAATAAAATCTTTAGGGATCCCTGGGTGGCGCAGCGGTTTGGCGCCTGCCTTTGGCTCAGGGCGCGATCCTGGAGACCCGGGATCGAATCCCATATCGGGCTCCCGGTGCATGGAGCCTGCTTCTCCCTCTGCCTGTGTCTCTGCCTCTCTCTCTCTCTCTCTCTGTGTGACTATCATAAATAAATAAATTAAAAAAAAATAAAAGGAACAAACTCACTTTAAAAAAAAATAAATAAAATCTTTAAAAAAAAAAAAAAAGGAAAGTCCTCAGGGATCAGGGTTTCACTGCTGACTAGAACTAACTGGTGACCCCAGCGGTGGTGGTATTAGGGGCTATTCCTGTACTATACTGTGAGACCATGCAAACTGCCCTGATTTTTCCCCATTTAAAACCCCCAGTATTATTGGTGTATTAGTCAAGATGCCTTCTTAGGGCTTATCTAGAATTTTGTAGTATGCTATTAGTATCAGCCCAGAAGCTGTCCAGGAAGTGGTTTTAGTGGATTCAGGGTAGGTGGGTTGGGATGTGTGATTTGAATCCATAGAAGCACAGCATCCATAAAAGGGGGTCCCTGATGCCACTAGCATTTCTTCCACAAGGCTAATCACCCTGAATCTTCAGTCATACCCTTCTAGTGTCCGTTGACTACATGTCAGAGACCCTATGAGCAAGATGAACCCCCAGTTTGGCTCAGACACAGAGTTGCTATGTCTGTGATTTTTTTTTACAGAGACATAAAATACTGAAAGAACAGATTTTGGATCTCTGTGTAATTCACTTCCAAGTCGAATTCACTGGATACTGAATAGTTCAGAAAGTAAATAGCAGTTTATCACTCCTACCCTTTCCATACCCAAGCTTTATCCTGTTCCAATCCTCTTCACATACCTGTGGCCTCTCCTTCAGGACCCGTCTGTTTTGTGAATGTCTTCAGAATCTTAGCAAACAATCCTTTCTTGGCCAGCAGAGTGTTGTAGGATCCCTTCTCCAAGATGGTGCCATTCCCCAGAACCACAATCTCATCCACTTGGGGAAGAAAGTGAATGCTATGTGTAACCAAGAGTCGAGTCTGAAAAAAACAACAGTATGTTGTACCACCAGCTTCTCTCTGTGAGACCCTCTGTCCACCACCATCCTTGGCTTGCTCTTAAAAATGAAAGGAACTTTCCACTGACTATGGGTAGCTAACTTCTAACTACCCAGAATGTCTACTACCTTCCTTCATTTTTCCTTTTTTTTTAAAGATTTATTTATGTGTTTATGATAGAGAGAGAGGCAGAGACACAGGAGGAGGGAGAAGCAGGCTCCATGCCAGGAGCCCAATGTGGGACTCGATCACGGGACTCCAGGACCGCGCCCTGGGCCAAAGGCAGGTGCTAAACCACTGAGCCACCCAGGGATACCCTCATTTTTCTTTTTAAGAGCAAGCCATCAACTTAATTCATATAGGGCCCTGTTTTAAGATGTAGCCTTGACCACTTGGTCTCTTTTACTTCTTTCTTTCCCTGCACCTCATCCTAACACTAGACCCTGTGTGTAGGAGGAGACTCCTTCTGGAGTCTATATCCTGGATGTATTCAGTTATTTTCCTTTAGGGACAGAGAAGTTTGCCCACACACATTCTTCCAGCTTCCTGGGAGCTTAGGAATGTCACCTGAGATCAAAGCCTGTCAACATAACAGATGCATACAAAACTAATAACTAGCTAGCCAGCTAACCAACTTCAACTAACAAGAGCTGCTCAGATTCTTTTAGCACATTAGAGACATTGTAGGGACATCAAACCTTGTCTTCAGTCCAAGCCCTCTGTGGTATGGGAGACTTGGCATCTCTTGTATTCCTGTCTGTTTGCAAACCACACCGACTACTGAAATAAGGACTCCAGTTGGAGAAAGACAAACACTCATGGATCAGTAATGCAGTTCAGACAGAAGCAATGGGGTTGAAATGGGCCTCTGGAGAGATAACCCAAACCACTGCCTCTGCTCTCTCTACTTCATAGCTCTATAGAGACTAGATCCCTCTTATCTGGAAGACCCAGGAAATGCTCATCCTCCAAATCTCAACTTTTCTGGGAGCCTTTCCTGAGTCCTCAGATAAGACTTGGGTATCCCTCTGATGCTTCTACTGTAGTTTCCACAGACTGCCATTATAATAATTCTTGTATTATGATATTATTGTTTGCTTTTCTGTATATCTTCCCATTAGATTGTATGTTACTTGAGACCAGATCCTTTCATCTGTGCAGGCGCAGTCTTTGCCACAGACCAGTCATAGGGTGGTATACAGTTCATGAATGAATAGAGCCAAAAGGCCTTAAGGACAGGAGCCAGCACCAGGAATAGGAGGGAGAGTGAGTTCCTGTTGACTCACTGATCCAAGAGTGGCAAAGAGCCTCGGTGGGACAGCAGCCCACTTAACCTCTGATTGGCAGCAGTTAAATCAGAGGATAGGTGAAAGAAACAGGCCGAACACAGAGGGAGTTTTACTGACTGATGCTGAGGGAGAGATTATTGACAGCCATCATTCTACCCTTGCTGTTGGTGAGGAGCACATTCAAATCCTCAAGGGGCTCTGTTAGCCCCTCCCCCACTCAGCCCACTGCATCAGGGCAAATATGCTAGCTTGTCCATGGTAAGGAAAGCCTAGTCTTCACCTACCACCAGCTCTTGTGACTTGCTCTGACCTCTGTATCTGTTGTCTCACAGGAGCATTGTGAGAGCCAAATGAGGCAACATAATCAAAGTGCTTAGCATAGGCCTAGAACATAATGAATACTCAAGAAATGTCAGCTTTATTTTTATGCTCAGGTTGAGTCATCCTTTCCAGGCATAGCATTCCTATGTCCTGCAAAGGTTCCAGGGAAGTATCTTAGAACATAGCTCTAATACATGAGGATGATCTATGTCCCAACAGCAACATAAGTGTTGGGTCCTCTGGGAGGACACCAGCCAATTCTCTGACATCAGGTAGGTATTCAACAATTCAATTCTAACTACCTGGAATTAGCACAAATCCCACAGTTTAAGAGCTCAGTCTCATGAGACTGGCCTGACTTCAGATGCTGGTTGTGAGTCTTGGGCCACCCATATTTCTAACCAACTAGCTATAAAGCCCCTTCCTTGTATTAGTGATTTGCTAGAATAGTTGATAGATATTCAGAACACACTTGATTTATGTTTGTCAGTTTGTTGTAAAGGATACAACTCAAGAAGAGTCAAATGGAAGAAATGCACAGGGCAGTGCATGGGGGTGTGGGTGCACCTGTGGGGTGCACCAATTGGATAACCCAATTGTGCTATCCTCTCAGCACCTTCACAAGATCACCAATCCAGAAGCCCTCTGAATCTCATTTTATTTTAGGTTTTATTTATTTATTCATGATAGACACACACACACACACACACACACACACACACAAACACACACACAAACACACAGGGAGAAGCAGGCTCCCTACAAGAAGCTGGATGTGGGACTTGATCCAGGACCCTGGGATCAGGCCCTGAGCCAAAGGCAGTTGCTCAACCGCTGAGCCACCCAGGCAGCCCTGAATCTTCATTGCCATAAATAAAAATTTATGATTTTTTATAACCCAGTCTTTAGCTCCTCTCTCCCTCCCCCAGAGGTTTGTAGGTGGGGCTGAAAGTTTTAACCCACCTATCACCTGGGCTTTCTCTTCAACAGTCCTGTCCTAAGGCTATGGAGGGGTCCTACCCTAAGCCACTCTTTAGGCTTAAGAACAAAAACCTCCTAGTATTACTCAGGAAATTCCAAGAGATAGGAGCCCTGTGTCAGGAAATGGAGACACAGGCCAAATATATTTGTTGTTATGCTACAGGTCTCAAAGTGCCTTTTAATACAATCAATCATCTTCAGAGGCTCAAAAGTCAGAGCCCCAAGACTCAGATTAACCAGTTCCAGCATAAGCCAGGACCTCAAGATGGGAGCTTTCCTGGGTCCTCTCCTGGGAGACCAATTCTGACACTGTATCTCCTCAGCAACCTAGGGGACAGGTAAATAAGAAAATTTGTTTCAGGACACGCAGCAGTCCTAGGAGATGTGTCTCCCTACTGCCACCCCAATGTTCTTTTTTTTTCTTTATGTAACTTCTCACCTTGCCTTTCAATAGGCCATTGGGACCCAAGACCTTATTGAAAATATGTCTTCCCACATGAGCATCCACAGCCGACAGGGGGTCATCCAGAACATAGATGTCTGAATTCTGATAGGTAGCTCTGGCCAGGCTAATCCGCTGCTTCTGACCCCCACTAAGATTTATACCCTGAAGAAGAAAATAATTTCTATTAAGCACTACTCCATAGTTCCACCCTCACAGAGACTAAAGAAAGAGATTTGCTTCATTTAAGGTATCGAGGACTTTAAAACCTTACAAGTTTCTTTATACAAGTAAATAACTTTGGTTCAAATAAATTATTTCAGGCCCAATAATTAAATGTATGCCCAAATTACCATTTTTGATTGTATGATTTACTCATGATTTTTGTTTCCTGCCCCATGGGAATGTAGAGCTATACTAGGGCAGATTTTCTCTATTTTATTCATGGATGTAATTCCAGCATGGAAAATAGTGTGTGGCACATAGTAGGTACTCAGTAAATGTATGTTGGATTAACAAAATCATTCCGGATCTAGGTCTGGAGTCTATATCTAATAAAGTCTTCTAATATCTGAAGATCCTTGTCATCCAAAGACTACTCTACTCATTTTTAGTAATAGGGAGGAAGGTTAAAAACATCCTAAATGTATATTTATTTGTGACCATATAATGGATACAGTATAATCATTAAAAATCTATTTTTAAGAAAGGTATTTAATAAGCTGAAAAAATCATTCACACTAAATTTCTTTTTTTTCAAGTGTTTATGGACCTGCATTTTAATTCTTTTTTTAATAAATTAATTTTTTATTGGTGTTCAATTTACCAACATACAGAATGACACCCAGTGCTCATCCCGTCAAGTGCCCCCCTCAGTGCCCGTCACCCATTCACCCCCACCCCCCGCCCTCCTCCCCTTCCACCACCCCTAGTTCGTTTCCCAGAGTTAGGAGTCTTTATGTTCTGTCTCCCTTTCTGATATTTCCCACACATTTCTTCTTCCTTCCCTTATCACACTAAATTTCTAAGTGTGTGAAGCAGATCATTGGAACTTTCCTCTGGGCTTCACTCATATCGAGAGGTAGAGTCAGAACCTCTCAGCTCTGGTCCTGTCTCTGCTGTTCCTCTACCTGTGAGGCCAGCCTTGGGCCAGGCACTGGTTACTTAACCTCTCAGGTCCTAGCCTCATCAACATTCTTTTACATGACACAGTTCTGATATTTGCTTCCAGCTACAAAATTTTAAGTTTCAAATATTGCATAAACTTGGTTTTCTGGTATTTGTTCCAACCTGACTACCAAAACCGGCCAGCTCTTCTACTTCCATCCTCTTCACCATTCTCATTTTTTAAAAAATCTTTGCTATTCCTTCACCCTTCAAGGTCTCTTGGTGTCCAAAGTACCTTCTCTCCAATCTCAGCCAGGTCTCCTCCCGGCAGCACTTCCAAGTCTGGTAGGAGGGCACAGGCTTCTAGCACCTGCTGGTATCTCTTTTCATCCAACTCGGATCCAAAAAGGATATTGTCCTTTATGGTGCCATTCTGAATCCAGGATTGCTGTGGGACGTAGGCTATGGTGCCCTAGATGGGAAGGATCAGACCATGTGACAGTTGTACCTCCAGAAATACAGAGTTTAAGGAAGGAGTGGCAGGATGGGGAGGAAAAAACAGAACATAGATTTAAAGAAAATCAATGTTAGGCTGACTGAGCATCTGATATTCATAAATGTCTTGTATATATTGCACCAACCAAGGAGAAAGATTTTATATCCTAACCACCACTTAAATATTTGCCCCCCTTTTTTACTATTACTTTCTAGCCATGATCCTAAAAATTGGGGGATGAATGCACATGCTACTTCTAGAACAGGGCTTTAGTTTGACCTCAGTGAGTTTCCTAAGACTCTGGTGAGAGGGCTAACACTGATAAGGGGGATGATATAGATGGTATTTTAGGAAGAACCAAGATATTTGAATTAGGGTGACTGGCTGATGCATAAGGCAGATCATGTCCAATGAGAGATGGAGCCTGACAAAGGCCTATATTTGAGAATGGGCCTGCTTTTGAGTTAGCAAGAAAAAGCTTCCCAATATACTGGAAACTAATGTAACATGGTGTGTCAACTATACTCAAAAACTTTTTTGAAAAAGCTTCCTAAAAGGAGTTAGGAAACTGGGGTGCCTGGGTGGCTCAGTTAGCTAAGCATATGACTCTTGATTTTGGCTCAGATCATGATCTCAAGGTCTTGAAATCAAGCCCTGGGTTAGGTTCTGTGCTCAGTGGGGAATCTGCTTGAGATTCTCTCTCTCCCTCTACTACTCTCCCTCCCCCCTCACATGCACACTTGGACTCACACTCTCTTTCCCTCTAATAAATTTTTTAAAAAGGAGTTAGGAAACAGATTTTAATCTGTAGAGTCTGTTCTGCTTTACCGTGTGTCTATTTAATGTACACTAGCTCATAAGTGACTGGTAAATTAGGGAATAAGGTCAGTATAATGCAGAAGAAGCATTAATTCTTCATTTTCTAAGCATGTCAGTATCAAGCCATCAGGGGCAAGCTTTCTCATAATTAAAAAAGAAACGCTTAGCAAGATACAAAGATCTTAAGGAAAAAAGCTAAAAAAAATCTATTGACATGCCTTTTTTTTTTTAATGCAAGTGATGGCTGGTTAAATGATTCTAAGTATATAAAATTTCCCTTAAATTTAACTCTGGGGAAGCAGAGAGTACTAATGAGGACATTATGAAAAGTTTTCTTCTGTTAAAAAAATTTGATGAAGATATCTACACCCTATATCAAATTTTGGTATTGGAAGGAAGTACCCTCGAAGCCCAAGCTCTCAAAGGAGAAGGCAGGGGATCCAGGATTAGCTGTGATGCTGAGTGTCAGTTACAGTGCTGCTGCTTTAATTGCTATTGTTGTTATTGGTTTTGTTGGTACCCTGGTTACAAAGTTATGTAAGTTTTTAATGATGTTTTTAGAAACACAGATAAAGCAGAATTGCCTGTACTTTGAAGGAAGAAGAGTTCTATTTAACAGCTTTCAAACTTAAGTATACATATGGGAATCACCTGGGGACCTCATTAAAAATGCAGATTTTTAGAATCTACCCTCGGGTCTGAGTATATGTGTGGAGTGGGGCAAAGAATCTAGTTTGCAAGTCTACCAAATGTCTGTAAGACCCCTCCTACTGCAAAACAACAGTGGTTATCAGATTCTCTTCCTCAGTGCTGTATGGTCCACATTTGAATGTCAGAACTCTTCTTGGCATCCTCTCTCACCTTGATGGTGATGTGCCCATGGACATCTTCCATTTCTCCCAGCATGGCTGACATCAAGGAAGACTTCCCAGAGCCTACAGTGCCCACCACAGCCACCAATTGGCCTGGCATAATGTCCAGGTTCACACTGAAAGAGAGAAATGTATTTGAAGGAGATGAGGGCAGTTATTCAAGAGTGGTTCAGGCCACCTCTCAGACTATCCATGTTAAGTCTGGTTTGAGTCTTACCCACAAGACTGGAAAATTTGTCTTGGATATAGAAGACTTTGAAGTGCTTCTTTAATATCTTTCTTTTTTTTTTTAAGCTCTAAAGGGCTAGAGAGTGAACCCTTACTCAACTATCTACAAACTGTTTGTCCCAGTGTAGTTTCAACTGGAATAATTCTCTTAGCACCAACATGGTACCATTGACAAGACCTAATGAGAATCTGGTGACCTGAGTTCAAGTCTCAACTCTACTACTGCTACGCTGTATGATCTTGGAAAGTCACTTTCTCTGGACTTCCATTTATGAACTAACAGGGTTGGAATAGATAAGTGTTTCCCAAACTTGGATGTTCAATGAGAATAGCCATTCAGTGGGGCACTTGCAAAAAAGCACAAATTCCCTGCCCCTTCCTCTGGAGATCTGGTTGTGTCCTGCTGGGGAGGGGCACACACTGGGCTGGACTCCTAGCAACTCTGTGCCCACCTATTTTTGAGTCCCTAGAATATTTGGAACATTAGGAACTTGTTCACAATATTTCTGAATCTGCCTATTGCTATAGTATACATCTAAAAGAAGTTCAGCTGAAAGTGGGAGCTGTGTCTAGACTTCTCTCTGCAAAGGGAGGCTTTCAGGTTGAGAGGGTTCAGAGGAGGGGCTTCTGGCCCCAGTGCATCCTGGGGCAAGCTCCAGAATTCATATCAAAGGCTGTAAGAATAAGAGAGAAGTTTGGAAAATCCTAGGTGCAACAGGGAGATTACATGCGCTGGATTGTGAAGAAAGATGTGGCCTGCTCAGGCTTCCTGGTGTATCGTGTGTTCAGTGGAGCTGGGTATGTGCTGTGTATCTAACCCTGCAGGTACTAGGTTTTCTCCTATCCAGATAGCCCTGTGATAAAGTTAAATTTCTAAATTAGGCCCAGGAAGAGATTAATGACAATAACTAATGAAGTAGAACAATTATAGCAGTATACTATAATAAAAGGTAGGTGAATGTGGTTTTACTCTCTTATTGTACTGTACTCACTCTTCTTCTGATGATTCAAGATGTGACAATGCCCATGTGCAGAGCAGAAGTGAATGAATGACGTAGGCACTGTGACCTAGCATTAGGCTACTACTGACTTTCTGACTTTGTCAGGAGGATCATCTGCTTACAGAGAGGACAACCAAGGTTGCCTGTAGGTAATTTGAAACCACAGAAAGCAAAACTGTGGATAAGGAACTACAGTGCAGCATGGTAAGAAAGGGCTGGCTAAGGGCAGAGGAGGTGGGATGTGGAAATGGGTTATTTAGATGTAAGACTCTAGATCTCAAGTTTAATCTTAGTTAGAGGCGGCTCCCATTGCTCACTGTGGGGAACGAAGGCATATTCTTGGTTACTATTCTTGAGTGAGTGAATAAACTTAAATTGATTTCAGATTCTTGGATGTATCCTTTCCCGTACCCAGAGCCCGAGGCCACTTCCCAACACTGCACTACCTCCATCCACAATCCGGAATACCTGTCTTCATGGGTCCTTAGCAGGATGTATGTGTCCCACAGGAAGACAGTAGAGAGGCAGATGTAATTATAGGGAAAGAGGCTCAGGGGTTTTGCTGTCAGTACATCCCTCCGGGGGTTCAGCCTGCACTATCTCTACCTGAACATGGGCACATGTGCCCTATTACGTGGACCTTTCTAATAACAGGGCTGGCAAAGAGAATTCTGAAGAACAGCAGGGTGGGAAGGGGCAACTCACTCTCTGATTGTGGCTTCCGAGTCCTGGTCCCAGGTGAAGGAGGCCTCTGAGAACTGCACAGCTTTGTCTGTGGAGAAGAAGGCCCCTCTTTTCATGAGCTGTAGTCCCCATGTGTCTGCTCCTTCTCAGCCCTCATGTGTTTCCCCCTCTTGGCTTCCTTCAGCAGCACCTGAGATCCCCTCTGCCAGGCGCCAGCTCCTCCATGAACAGGAGGGAAAGGAAAGCTCCCAGCTGAGACCAAAAGTGGCCTGCAAACAGGTTGGATTGTTGGATTGTTGGTTGAATTGCCAACCTTGTCAGTAGCCCAGACTCTTGACTTGCAGACACTCTGGGTCTGTTCTCGGGGCCCCTGCTGCCTAGCATCCTGGTAAAAATTCCAGCTCCAGATAGAAATCTAGCAGCTCCCTGAACTCCAGACCCATGGCTTGCTCTGGCTGTGGCTGCCCCTCAGGCCTCAGAGCTCCAGTCTACCTTCCCCAATTCCTATGCTTGGCACTATCCTGACTTTTGCTTTCTAGATGTTTTGCAGGATTCCCTGCTCATCCTCAGAGTGACTGGCCCAGCTTTGTTTAGCAATCTGGCTAAGTACTCTGCTCTAAATGAAAGCATAATTTAAGTAAAAACAGCAAGCTTATTATGTAAAGGAGGGTTTCAAGATAAACTCCCAGGTCTCCCTTTCAATCAGTTTGCTGCCAAGAGGCCCCAGATATTGAGTTCAGGTGCCAGCTCTGTGGCTAAGCTTGGGGAGCAGCTTCAGATCCATTACCAGAACTGCTGTCACGTCGAATGGCGGATGTGTCTAAGTCATCCCCTCCCAAGTACTTTTCCAGGCGTTCTCTGGAAACGCTGGCCTAGAGAGGGACACAAGGGATCTGAAGAATAAAAAAATCCAATGACAAGCACAAGCAGGGAGAGGATTTTGACTTTGCCATCAGCCCTGGACGTGGAAGCAGTCCACCTGCCGAGTTTCTAGCCAATGATTTGCCATTTGCCACAGCTGGACCCTCTGGACACCTACCACAGACTCATCCACACCTCAGCCTCAAGAGACAGAGGGAAATTAAGATGCTCTGTTTCAGCCCCTTAGAAAACTTGAGGGTCAACTCTCTTGCCATCTCTCCAATCTTTGGACCTGGTTCCGGAAACTGTCTTCTGCCTTCCTCTAAGACGAAACCCTAACTTCTGTCTGGTTTTGGTAACTGGGCCCCGGATGTGCTCTTCTGTACTTGAGTATCCATGCCTTGGGTTCATCCGGTGTCCTAACTGAGCCACTACTAGGACCCTTTATAGAGGAATTGGCCACGGCACCATAGTGACCTTTCACATCTCCACATAGGCCAGGTTTAAACCACAGCTGACCCAAGCATTGGCAGACATCCTGCAGTCTCTGGAAACAATGAGAACTTGGAATTCTCGGGAGCTTTTACAAGGACATTTCTCACTTGCCTCCCTATTTCCAGGGAACCTGTCATAAGATGGTTTCTCCTTGCTACCCGGGTTCTAATGAAGGAGCAGACTCTCTGCCTTTCTCCCTCCTGAGCACCGCTGTAGGCTACAAAACTATGTGGGTGCTGCTGCGCCAATCAGCTCCTCAGACACAGGGAGCCACACAGCGGGGGTGCATGGTCATCCTGTGAGACGGGGATGAAGGGAGTGGACACCTTTGCTGATTTTGCTTTGGTTATCTGTGTAGTAAACTAACTGCATCTAAAAAGAGCCTGCTGTTTCTCTATCAGTCAAATCTGTTAGTCTTTCTTCACTCCCTCCAGGACAGGGGGGTCACTCTTGTGGTCTGAGCCAGCCACTGCCTGGGTAAATGCATATCACTTCACTCCATCTTCCTGGCCACCTCACCGGTCTACCTCATGTCCCATGAATGTCCTCCTGAGGTCTGGTACCTGGTCCATATCAGTGTCTATGCTCACTTTGCAGGACCCAGACACTGCCTCTGGCCCATCCAAGATCTCTTAAACTCCAAACTGACAGCTCGAAGCTCAAGAACTGCATTCAGTTTTACCCTTACATAGCTTCATACAAGACAATGTCTTTTCTTTCCCTTTGTGCCATATTTCCCTAATGCTTATAAATACCCCAAAGCCCTGGAAAAATGTGGGGGAAACCAGGCTTGGAAAGGGGCTTAAAATTGTTCCAGGTACCAGGGCTCATCACCATCATCTCACTAAGTGCTCTCACAAGCACTGTCTCCCTGTGAGGTAGAGAAGATTGGTATGATTATCCTCATTTTATAGTCAGATTAATTAGGGTTCAGAGAGCTTGTAATTTTACTAAGATCAAACTTGGTCTCCAAGTTTGTCGGTCTTTACTTGGTCTTGGTCTTGGTCTTTACTTGGTCTTGGTCTTTACTAAGACCAAACAAAGGTCTCTAATTGAAAGTTCACCAGCAGAAGCTAGACGTGCACTCTGAGAGGCTAGTCACTTTGGAACGTAAGGCTTTTAACCAGAGATAATCAGCCAGCAGTGAGAGATCCTACCCACCTGGAGCAGTGAGGAGATTACCATGGGGAGCATGCTCAGGGGAAAGCGCAGGATATTGAAGAGGGTGATGGAGGTGAATGCCTTCTCTGCATCCAAAACATTATTGCTGTCCACCAGAGTGTAAACTGAAAACGTGATCACAGACACCTGGAGAAGCAAGGTCACAAGGAATTCATTCCTAAACGGGTCCAAGCGGCCTTATGCTAAGACTCAGGAACATGGTATATCAGAGTTGAAGGAGCTTTAGGGATTTTTGTCTCAATTTTCTTGTGTTACAGCTGAGAAAGCGGAGCCCAGAGGAGAGGAAATATCTTGCCTGAGGTCACAAGGTCAGTTAATGGTATCACTGAGACCATAGTTTGGGTCTCCTGGCTCTGATATTGGTGTTCCTTCCCACTCTAAATCCACACAGCCTCCTCAAGAAGATAGAAAGTCTCCTATGCAAACCATTCCTGGATACCTCATTGATGCCAACCATTCTGGAAACTTGCTCTGGGCTGCCAGAGCACCAAATTGTACACTGGGGTGAAACTAGAGCTGGGGCACAAGGTAGGGATGGAGGCTCTGAGAAAGTGAGGAGGGGCCAGAACTCCCTGGATTTGAGGGCTAGGCCTACAGCACTGGGCAGCCTATCTAGAACCTTCCCCTTCAGGCAGCTGATTGATTGGCAGCTTCCTCTTCCCAGCCCATTGATTGCTGTCACTCACCAAGACCGGAGTTAAGTATAAGAGAAACACCATTACAGACTGCATCTGCCCGAAGGTCAGCAGGTTCTTGAGCTCTTTCTTCCGAAGTTCGTGGACTTGGTTTTTGAATGAAGGTTCCCAGGCAAAATATTTCAGGATCTAAGAGGATAGAAAACAGCACAGCTCACACTGTTGCGCCAAAAGGGCTCATCTGCCCAGATTTTAGGATGTGTTCTCCAAAACGGGGGATGGAAGGTAGAAATCCAGATTATAAAGTATGATTATAGAAAGATAGGCTGCATTTGCTGACAACCTACTATGTACAAAATGGTTTATACACATTATCTTACTTAATCCTTATAACAACCTTAGTGTGATCAATTGTCCCAGTTTACCTGGGTCTAAGGGGTTGCTTAGGACATGGGGCTTTCAGTGCTAAGCCCAGAAAGTTCTGGGCAAACCAAGGAGAATCCCTGACTTTTGCAGAATTATTGTATCAATTTTAGTGATAAAGAAACAGGCTGAAGAAGCTAATAAACTTTTTTAAATTTTTATTTATTTATGATAGTCACAGAGAGAGAGAGAGAGAGAGAGAGAGAGAGGCAGAGACATAGGCAGAGGGAGAAGCAGGCTCCATGCACCAGGAGCCCGACGTGGGATTCGATCCCAGGTCTCCAGGATCGCGCCCCAGGCCAAAGGCAGGCGCTAAACCGCTGCACCACCCAGGGATCCCGAAGCTAATTAACTTGACCAAAGTTACCAAGCTAGCAAGTGTTAGAACAGAGATGCAAAGTCAGAGCTATCTTTTCATTTTACTAGATTTAGCAAGAAGGCATATCAGAGCTCTGTTTAGAGAAATATCAGGGATTAAAAGAGGCCTCCATTTCATTTTCAAAAAGTTTAGGATAATACTTAAATCCTTGAATTCAAAACAACACAAATGTTAAAAAAAAATAACATCTTGGTGACCTTTGTGGGAGGAAATGCATTATTTTGAAAGCTGGTCAATAGAGGGAAAGAAGCAAGCATTTATCTTGCCTGTCCTGTACAAAATTTATTTTAGGGTAACTAACTAGTTGATTAAAGATAATTCTTCATTATAGAATTCCAATTAATCATTGCCAAAGATTAATAGAACTAAAATTTAATAGAACTAAAATTTCACTCTTTTGCTCCTAATGAAATAATAGATCAAGGTAATGATCATTCATGGATGCAAGAACTCTTATGATAGTTTTCAATGTTGGCTGCATATTAGAATCACTTGGGGAGCTTTTAAAATATATGTATGCCTAGGCCTCAACATCAGAGAATCTAATTTAAATGGCTTGAATTAGAGCCCAAACTTCAGTGGGTTTTACAAACTGCCCAGGGGGTCAAAATGTGTTTCCAGGGCCACAAATCACTGCTCTAGGTGAAAGAATGGCAGGAAAAAAAAAAAAAAAAGAAGAAGAAGAACAGCAGGAAACCTATTAAGGAGTGAATCAGACTGACAATACCTGGATCATACCTGTACAGTACCCTCTGAAAGTATCCTTCCTCCCTACCCCTACCAAACAAACAAAAACAAAGAAACAAACAAACAAAAAAACTAATCAAGCCTCTAGATCTGATTACTAATTTATAAGAAATACAGGAAACAACACAATCTGGTTTCTCCAATATGACAAAAAAGGAATTAAAAAAAAAAAACAAAAGGAAAGAGTCTATTATAGATTAAAAGAACTAGCAACTAAATGCTATGTTTGGACATTTTTTGGATCCTTATTCTAACTAATTCAGCAAACAAATGACATATGAGGCAATTGGGAAAATTTAGCAGTACCCAAAAAAATGAGTAATCTTTTTTAGGTATACTAATGGTATTGTGGCTATGTTAAAAAATAAAGTCTTTTAGAAACATACAAAGTATTTATGAATGAAATGACAAGATATCTGGGATTTGCTTTAAATATAATCTAGCAGAGCATGAAGTGGATACACAGATCAGATCATGCTGATAATTGCTAGATGTGGGTGAGAAGTCCACTGGGTCTCATGAGATCATTCTCTACTTTTGTGTGCATTTGACAATTTCTACAGAAAAACATAAACAAACAAACAAAAAAAACATTTATGGTAAATAAACAGAAATCCAGGTTTGAAAGAGGGCCTGAAACAGCTAGAAGGAGAAGCAGGAGACTTGGAGACTTGTGGATAGATGAGCCTGTAGTCCTGTGACACATCTCAGGCCCAGAAGGAGCTGTTCACAACCCCTACCAGGCTTTGTTGAGGCCAAGAACCCTTTGCTGCTGCTGCCAGCATTTTACATGGAGGGCCTGCTCCTCCTCAGTTTCTCACCTTGATCCCACTGAGAATTTCATTCATGATCTTTAAACGTTTGTCTTTATTCTTCATATTTTTTACCTGCCAGGAAAAAGTAAAACAAAACACACTTCTTTGTGAGATGATTCAGATTTGCCATGGATGCTGGGTTGTGCTGGTGACACTTGTAGATGTCAGTTGGTAAGAACCTGAGGTGCCCGGGATTGGGATGCATCTCTCCCCACCGTGCTCTTTGTCCAGGCTGCTCCTGCCACACCTGTCTTCACTCTGATCCTTAAACGTGTCAAGCTCATGTCTGTCCCTGCAGGCTCTGCCTGGCTTGCCCTCTTCCCAGGTTATACTTCTGGGAACTTGCTCCTTCACAGTCAGGCTCGTGCTATTCAGAGTTGAACTCATATGTACCCTCACATGTATGAGGCCTTTCCCGACCCTGTCATCTAAAACCACCATCCACTCACTTGCTATCATATCACCCTGTTTAATTTATCATGACCTGATAGTTTTCTTGTTTGCTTCTATTTATGGCCTAAATTTCCACTCTAGAAGAATGTAAACTCCACAAGAACAAGAGCTTTGTCTAATTTGCTGCCCTGTTCCCAGAATAGCATGTACACTATATCTTTTAAAAATAATTATTTGTAACTAAAGGAACGCAAAGGGAATGAATGAATGTATCACATACAGCATCCAGTCCTCCCACCCAATCTGTGATTCCTGGCAGATCAAAGAACTGTCTGCAGGGAACCCTGCCACCTAGTAGTAGCAGGGTTGATTGCCAGGATTTAGGCTTAAAGTTTGGGTCACTCATGTGTCTGCTCTGCATGATTGGTTTGTATTGCTATGATGGGGAAAACAGGGCCAATCATCACTATTCTAAGAACAGCCCTAGGGCACCTGTCTGGCTCAGTCAGTGGAACATGCCACTCTTGATCCCAGGGTTGTAGATTTGAGCCCCATGTTGGGTGTAGATGTTACTTAAAAATAAAATCTTCTTTAAAAAATAGAAAATAAAAAAAATAAAAATAAAAATAAAAAAATAAAAAAAAATAGAAAATAAAAAAAAAAACACCCCAGTCTATCAGAGCAGGGTAGAAGAGTTATGTGCAGGGTCTCTGGAGAGCTCTCCCCTCTCTGCCCTCTAACATGAATAACGAGAATATAAACCTTAAGATTGGTTAAAAGATGAAAGGGGAAGATAGAGAAAACCACGTTCATGTGGAATGCTGGAAAGTCTTCCATCAGCTTTGCCTGCCCAAATGCCCAAGAGTTAGAGTAAACAAAAGACTTTTAGACTTTGAAGAAGGTATTTATATCCCCAGTGTGACTCAGTTTCTTTACCTGAATAGCTCTACTCTTAGAGGCAAGTAGCCCATTAACTGGAATTAGGAGTATCATCACCCCAACACCTGCTAAGACGGAGGGTCCCAGCTCTGCCCACAGGAAGTAGATAGATAAAGCAATCTGGAGAACATTTGACCACAGCAGATGAATGAAGTTGGTCACATCCATGAGCTTCTGAGCATCCACAGACATCAGGTTCACTGTTTCTCCAATGGTGTACTGCTTCCTGGCCTGGTTGGAAAGGGTCAGCGCCTAAAGATAAAGATTGGAATTGGGAACAATAGACACAACTTTTCCAAGGGGCTCTGCCTTCTTGCCTCCCTACCTTATACAGAGTTTTCTCTCATTCTTGACTTCTCTTTCAGGTTACTTCCACCTCCTTGAACCCCTTACCAACCCCACCCCAATATACACATTTCTTTGCTCAGAAAATTCCTTTTCTTTAGTGTCAGTTTAGATGGAATTTGTTCTGAGAAGACTTTCCTGGACTCCTGAGTTTGGGTTAGATACCAGTACCTTCTGTGTACTCCCAGAACATTCGGGGCTTACTTCTGGCATTACATTCATCATACTGAACTGTAATGATGTCATTTTTCTACTTCTCCACCAGACGTAAACTCAGTGAGAACAAGGGCTACATCTGCTCATTTCACTACCATATCACATGGCACACAGTAGGGAATCAGATACTGAAGGATGATAGGAAGGGAGGAATCAATCACTTATTGATTCTGGCCTTTTAGATTTGGTTGTGGCAGTGTTACTTGGAGCCATGTTCTTAAAAGGAAGTTGCAGCCATTTTCAAGAAGGACAGAGGTCTCAGAATGAAGAGGAAAGCTGTGCCGTTCATGCATTTGAAGCAAAATTTGTTTATTGTCAGGAATTTGCAGGCAATATCTAGATGCTGAATCACATAGCATTGGCTCCTGTTTTCATGTTAGAGAGACCAAAAGATTTATCTCCACAGGTCTGTCACTTACAACAGTACCTTGCACAAATGCACCCAGCCAAGGGACTTGAGGTGGGGGCACTGAAACCAGTTCACAAAAGACCAAAAAAACAACTGGCATGGGCTACATCTTCCTGGAGGAAGGAGAGCTTTCTAATTCACACAAAAGACAGTATAGACCTTTAGGTTGTCCTAGGGAGCCTCCATCCTCTTCCTGGAAGCTCAGCTGTCATCTTAATCCACCAAGACATACTTCTTTGGAACATAACAGGATTCTTGGTTATATAGTAAAATGAGGAAAATTCCCCAAAACATTAGGCCATTAAGTTTCTAGAGAAATCAGTCTGTGGCTATGCTTCCTCTTTGATATGGAAAACAAAAACACCCCCCTCCCCCCAAAAAAACAAAAAGCCAAACCAACTAATTACCCTTCAAGGTCATCATTTTTCTATTCTCAGTAAATCTCAGTACAGTCGAAAAGGCATTAATTTAGTTCTAATAGCCTTCATCTGAGGGCAATACCTGGCTATATGATTGTAGGCATTGCAATGACCTAAGCCTTATTTCTCTGTAAAATAGAGATAATGCAGTTACTTCACAGTGCCATGAATTGATAATGGATATAAAAAATGTTTCATAACATTTCATAAATGAAGCATTGTCTAGCCATAAGAAATCAGTTTTAAATTCTATTTTAGTAGGAATATTTATTTGACTAAAAGTCTTATTAAGAGTTCCATTTTACAAATTCTTTATGAACTGTAACAGTTGCAAAACTTAGAATATTTAGGAATGAACCACCATAATTGTAAAAGTGTACATTCATAGAAATGGCTGAGATAGCCTTGTTAGTGATCTGATACCCTGCAAACGAGCAGAAATCCAGTATCTCCAAAGGAAATAAAGGGATTAAAAAATTGGGGGAAGTCCGAATTCCAGTGTGAGGGTACTCAGGACGGAGTTCAAAAGACCTGACCAGACTTCTGATCTAAAGACATTTTGGACTCTCTGTGTGGGTCTCTGGACAAGGCAACATCTATTCAGGGAAGACAATGACACATTGGTTTTAAGAGACAAACGCAAGGGAGAGAACCAGGAACCATAACAGAAAATCATTATGATAGAAAACGTTAGTGGCACAAGAAAGAGAGGAAGAAAAGGCAATTGGAGTTTAATGTTCTATTCTATAAAAAGTCCTATCTCCTCACATATGAATTTTTTTTTCCTCAGGCTTGTGGTCACTGACAGTAACTATTGTATTTTCATTTCTTTTTATTTATTTTTTATTAAGATAGAATTGATTCTATTTTTCAAGGGACAAAATGAGATTTCACCCTGGTATCTAGGACACGAGGAAAATACAGTTGCTCTGAAAAAGTTAAAGGTTAAATGCAACACCGCAGAGGGAAGGTTAGCAAAATCATCATAAGGAAATGAAAAACTTCCCAAGTCTGCAGAACTCAGTAACCAGAGAGCATGTATTTACAAAATGAAAAAAGGAGTCAGGCAGAGAAGGGGTGGTCAGATGCTAAAGATTAGAAAAAGTTGTCTCTAGGCAACTGGGTCTGGGGAGGTAGAGCCCTGGCCCATAGAGCATTCTAGTCTATGGCAAAATCGTAACAGAGATAAATACACCATGTCTTATGAACCTGGTTTCAAGTAGTATCCATTTTATTTTTTTTTAAAGATTTTATTTACTTATTCATAGAGACACAGACAGAGAGAGGGGGGCAGAGACACAGGCAGAGGGAGAAGCAGGCTCCATGCAGAGAGCCTGATGTGGGACTCGATCCAGGGTCTCCAGGATCACGCCCTGGGCTGCAGGCGGCACTAAACCGCTGCGCCACCGGGGCTGCCCAAGTAGTATCCATTTTAAATGGTGATTTTAAGAGTTTGCCATTGGTCAGCTTCTTTTCTGATCTTATATTCTTTCCATTATCAGTATATGTGCTGCCAAATTGAATATTCTAATCTTACATTCTTTTCCAAGGTGTTCTCACTTTGTCAAGAGAGCAAGAAGAGAGGGACCGGTGCACAAGCCTTCAAGGCTAAAAGGCAGATCCCAGGCAGAGAACGGCTTGCCAGCTTTTCTCTAGAGTGCATCCTCCCCCGTGTCCCCTGAACACGCACAAGCTCTATGTCCATGAATCCACTTTTCACAATTTTCAAAGAAAAATCTAAAGGAGGTTATCTGGTTAGTTAGAATCGAATGTTAAGATCAGTTTTCATTTCTATCAAAATTTTCCTCAGTCTTGGAATAAATGCTCACACTTAAGGGAATTTTCTTCAGTGATGTCTAACACAATCCACTTACCTTCTTGTATATGGAAGCCATGATGGTTGTCCGTACGTTTACACCCAACATGAAGCACATTTGAAAGTAGCTCTGAAGGCAGAGAGACTGGATGAGGGCCACAACAAAGAAGAGGACCGAATAGAAATACCCAGTCCACACATACGTGTCTGGGTCATTTGCAAAGGAGATCAGCAACCTGCCAAATCAAAACCAAATAAATGAGGCCATCAGGTCTCCAAGGATTCTTCACATTCCTCATGCACAGCCAGCTTCAAAAGTGACCAGAATTGTCCAATGCTGTTGGAAGACCTAAACTTCACAGTTGCATCAGGGCTCTTGCTTTTGCTTGGAGGGCTAGCAGCAAGAGATTAGAGATGATGACCCATGGCTGTGAGCAGGGACAATGAAAGAAATGCTCTTTAGACCTGGTACTGCATGCAATGCTTTGGCCCGGTCTTCCCCTATTTACCAAGGGGTAGTAGGACATGGATCCAATGTAAGTTCGAACTTCCCCTAAAGGAGAATTCATCCTATAGATTCCAGCAGACTACAAAGTCTTGTCATGATTAACCAAAACCTCCCACCAAAGGCTGTGGCTGTAGAGATGGGGTTATAGACACTAGGTATAAGGCTCTGTTGGATTATGCTGCCCACCTCTTGGGCATGCCTCCTCTCAGGTCACTTCTGTTTAACAAGAGTCTCTAACAAGAACCTGGCTTCCTAGGAGGGGAGGGATGTAGGAAAGAGGAAAGCTAAAAGACCTAGTATTTTAGATCTTTAGAACAGCACTGTGCTTTTCATGAACGCAACACTGGAAGGTGGAGGAATATTATGAGCATTTTAAACAATGGGAATTTAATAAACTCCTGCCTGCATAGCCAAGGGGCAAGCAGGGAGAGGAGTGGCAGAGGAGGCCCTGAAGGACTAGCCAAGGTCCAGGACTCACTTCAGCAGCTGAGGATTCAGAAACGTGAGAAGGTCATACACCAGCTTCAGTAGGAATGATTTCAAGAGTATGACATAGAAAGTTTTGAAGAGACTCTTGACCAACCAGGACTTGGGAAACTTTTCTGTGGTCCCAGACTTCTTTTTTTTCTTTTTAACTTCTTCCTAGGTATAAAACCAAACAACAGTGCTTACACAGTCACGTAGTGTAAACTTTTGTCTCACACTGCATGACTCCAGTGTTAAGCCTCTGAATCCCATTGCTTTCTTTGCACAGATTTTGGTCTTCTCACTGCCTGCCATTGTGCACCCTTCCAGCTGCCGTCACTGGTTTCCTTCCCCATTCTAATACTCTTGGTCTATCTTGGGTGAGAAAACCAGGCCACTAAGCTGGTAAAAATACCATGTTAAAAAAATAATAATAAAAAACAAAGAACAGACTCTAAGTAGGGGGCCTGCCAGGAAGGGTATGAACATGAGAATTTTTAAGACTTTTTGTTTTTTCTTGCTTGTGGTTGTTGTAGGATGTTATGGGTTGAATTATGTTCCCTCAAAAAATATGCTGTAACTCTAACCACCAGTACCTCAGAATGTGCCTTTATTTGGAAATGGGGCCTTTGCTGATGTAATCAAGTGAGGTTGAAGTTCTTAGGGTGGGCCCTACTCCAGTCGGACTGGTGTCTTTGTAAGAGAAGAGACTCAGACCCAGAGAGAAGATGGTAGTGTGATGACAGAGGTACAGATTGGAGTGATGCATCCATAAACCAAAGAGCAGCAAAACTAGAACCTAGAAGAAGGAAGGAAAGTTTCTCCCCTATGGGTTTTGTAAGGAGTATGGCCCTGCTGATACTTTTATGTGGGGCTTCTGACTTCCTCTGTGAAATAGTAAGTTTGTTTTAAGCCATGCAGTTTGAGGTACCATGTTGGGGTAGCCCTGAGAATCTAATACATGGGACATTACTGCTCACTCACCCGCTTCTTCCTCTCCCTGTGATTTGGCCTCTTCATTCTATTCATCAAGCCCCAAATTCAGTTTCTCAGCCTCAGTTTCCAGGTTTTTCTACCAGTGACTTCCTCTTATAATTTTGTCACTGAGATCCCATCTGATCAGTCTCTTGCCTGGCCATCTGCCCCAGGCTGCCTCCCAGCTTCTCCTCTTGCCCCTCAACCATCTATCCTCCCGGCAGCAGCCCAGATGCATTTTTAAAATATAAATCTGATCACATTACTTTTCTGTTCAAAACCTTCCATTAAACCCAGACTCCTTACCAAGGTCCACAAGGGTCTACACAGCACAGGCCCTGCCTGCTGCCCTGAGTTCATCTCACCCCCTACTCAGCCTCTTTCTCCAGGCCCCAGGACCTTCTTGCAGTTCTCCATACAAACTAAACGTGTTCCCCTCAGCCTCACACTCCTGCTTCATTGGGCTGGATTATACCTCCTTCTGATGGTCCCACAGGTGGACTTTTCTCAAACTTTGGGTCTCTGCTCAAGTGTCACCTCCTCTGAAAAGTCTCTCCTACCATCCTAAAGTTACTTCATGCAAAACATGAACATGTTTTATGTATTCTTAATATCATTTGTTACTTTCAGAGAGTAACATGTATTGGTTTATTATTTATTTTCCAGCTCTATAAAGAGGACTCCTTCAGGCTATTCCTTGTACCCCGTGCCCAGAATATTCTCTGACAATTGATACTTGGTACTTGAGTGAATAAATAAGTGAATTAACTGCTAATGCTAAAGCCCACCAAATTGCAAATTCTGGCAATGCTAAGGTATTGGTTTTTTCTATTTTTAAAGACATATAGAAAATTTCAAATATGCCCAAAAGGAGAAAGAATAGCACATTATATTGAAATGTACCCATCACAAAGGTATTACTAATGTTATGAATACTACACATAATATAAAATGCACTGCAATGTATAAAGTGCTATCAAAATGTCAGGACAGAATCACTAGGACACTGATATTGTCTTGCCTGAAACACAGAGCACTTTCACACAGACATCATGGGAAAGTTACCAGAACAAGGATATCTTGGCTTTGACTCTGATTCTTGTTCAAGTCATGCAGCCTTTCTCCAGACTTCCCCTGGGTGTTCCTCTGTTGCTGTTTCTGGAGGGTCTTTCTGGCCTTCTGCAGCTCTTCCACCATATATTTTTCAAACTTGCTGACCAGTGCCTTGGTTGTAATCTTTTCATCAACATCCCACACATCTTCCAGTGTCAGAGGTTGCTTGTAGCCTTTCATAACAATGCTGGAACCAGAGTGACCCACAGACTGAGACCCTACAGGCTGGGTCGGCGCAGTGCCCTTGCTGCTTCTGTTAAAACCTGCCCCCAACCCCAACCCGCAGTTCTGGGATGGAGGGACAGAGGATGGGAGGAGGCCCACTACTCCATCTCCTGGCCCTTCAAACTTGACAGAGTTGTAGGAAGGGCAGGAAATGGATGGGACAGGTGATGGAATGTAGAATCAGACAAGAAGGGAAGAGGAGCAGCACTACTGAATTAAAAGTCAGAAGGGCATCACCTCCTCCTCCTCCAAATTCCTCAAACACTGGCTGCCTCTCTGCCCCTCTGGCATTTCCCTGAGGGGCCTTCACAATGCCCTTTAGGAACCAAGCAGCCCTGGAAGCCTCCTCTGTGCTATCTCTCTACATCAGGGCCCATCAACCTGGTATTTGAGAATATGGATACAAAATATATTACATCTTTATTTTCACTAAGCTTCTCACTGAAAGTTAGTCTTTCTTTATAACATGAATGGTGGCAACCAAACAGTTGTAAACAAGAGTGCCTGTTCCTTTGACACTGGGAGACATCACAGTGTTTTCATGGTGTGTGTACACTCATTGCTACTTGGAGATTGTGGTCATTGTTCACCTCATCACTAGATCTTGTTATTTAACACATTCATAAAGAAGCACTTGTGTTACTGTATCACAAGTTTTTAAAAATATTTAACTGATCATATTTCAATATATTTGGTTTCCTTTGTAACCCTGTACCTTTTTCTTTATCTGTTGAAAACATTATATCTGAGAAGGCGTCCCTAGACATTACCAGCCTGCACAGGAGCCCATGGAACTACAAAGGCCAAGAATGCTGGCTGCAGATCCTTTGATAGCCCAGGCCAGCTAGTTCATCCCTTACCCTCCAGATCGTGCCACACTGCCTGCCACCAAATGTCCCTTTTCTTGTCGTTCTTCCTCTTTTTTTCTAACATCCTTCCTTTTCTCTATGGAACCCCCAGGCCACCATAAGCAAATCCCCCTCCATCGTCTCCTCCACATGCCACTCTGAAATAAATAGATCTATTAAGTCAACATTCTCAGACTCTAAGTAGAGGAGAAATGGAGGCCTCAGGAAGCATTTTTAAAATTAAGATTTCCAGGGATGCCTGGGTGGTTCAGTTGTTGAAGTGTCTCCCTTTGGCTCAGGTCATGATCTCAGGGTCCTGGGATTGAGTCTTGCATCATGCTTCCTGCCCAGTGAGGAGTCTGCTTCTCCTTCTCCCCCTCCGCCCCTTCCCCCTGCTCATGCTGTCTCTCTCTCAAATAAATTTTAAAAATATTTTTAAAAATTAAATTAAATGAAGATTTACATCATTTTCAGAAGAATGAGGGGGTAGGGATATGGATAGCCCACACCAGGCATTTCCTACCTGTCATACCAACTAAACGTAATGCTACTCAGAAATGAGGCCGTGAATGATGGATTCTGCAAGACACACACACAAATCAAAAAGTAAATAAATTTGAAACAGGAACTTTGTGGGACTAAAATCAGAATGTGTATAATTCATGTGTATAATTATATTTTATATATTTCTGATTTTTCTAGATATGTTATGCTAAAAAGTAGACATAATACTGAGGTATATTGAACAAAAAATGTTTATCTGGAGACCCTAAAGTCACCAGTAAAAATCCAATTTTCTGCATAGATACATGAATGAATTGTCTATGCTGAGGATTGGTGGGCCAGCGTAAAAGTATTTCCATACTCATAAAAGAGTATTTCCCTATGCTAGCCACTTTTTGTTTCTTTAAGCCACAGATGGTCTACATGGCTATATTCCAGGCTTGTAGGAACTCCATGAGGCCTTAGCAACTCAAAGTTACGTGTGTCAAGGCAATGTCCAGTTAAATAATACATGAGGTGGGCATATTTAGAGTCTCACGTTTGAGGAGGCATCTTTTTCTGAAAATGCTGATAGGATCAGGACCAGGATCTGTAGTGCATAGCCGATGAAGAACAGGCAAGAGTAAGCCAAGTTAGAATTGCTGTCCTATGGGGAAGAAAAAAACAAAAACAAAAAATAGAGAAAATGAGCCTTTTTCTAAATTAAGTCTAAATGGCCTATGTAGGTCAATGCTTGTGATTAAAGCCTATCATAAAATCCCCTAAACATAATTATCCCAGAGTTCAACTGATTCCATGTCACTTACTCTTAGAAGTTGCTCAACAATACCTCCTCATGTCGCTCTCTCTTTCCTCCTTACCTTTAAGAGTGTCCGGATCAGAGTCTGAAATTGGAAACTACCACAGAGTATTGAGAGAATCCAGAATAGGGACAGGAACCAAGAATCCTTCTGTACACACCATCGCCTGCTGTATTGGATCAGCAAAACCAGGAGCTAGAGAGAAAGTCACATCAAGTTCCAAAAAATATCATTACTAACCAAGGACAAGAGGCAAGAAAAATGCCAGAGAGACAGAAGAATGGTGGGTTGATTAGTTATATCAAGCTCCTTTAGAAGGCTGGCCAAGCAGACAATACAAATGCCAAATTGTAGACATCCTCCCTGATACAATCTAATTTCTTCTTTTAGGATATCCATTTTCCCTGGGACCCTCTTCCCCACCCCATCTCTATTCACTACACTTGGGTGGGGAGTTAGCCAAGAACACAGTGGGTCACCTTTTGCGTTTAATGGAGTTACCCTGGGAGCCAGAAAAGTCTTTTCAAGACCCAAGGGAGTTAATTTCAGGTACTATAGCAGTCCCCCTGGGAGGCAATTTCTGTTGGACAGGTCCACGTTGTCTATATGATTTTCTAATAATATCAAACTAAGCAATAGAACTTGCCTTGTAACATCTCACTTAAATATAACTAAATGTTGGTTTCCTAGACTCAGTGATACTTAGAAAATTATTTTACATCAATAAACTTGACTTTCATTTGTATAATTATATTTTATATATTTATTATTTTAACTTTCCAAGTACTGTTTACTTTACTGAAGCCTGGAGGCAGGGAAAGGGTGTATAAATGTTTGGCACACCAAGCCTAGGAGTGCATGTTGACAATGGTGACACACGGAGCTAGGGTGCTGAGGGCCAGCAGGCCTGTCACCATTGCTCGGCCAGCTGTGCTGTCCAGTTGCCCAGGGAACAGAGGTGGATGAAGGTCTCCATAATGAAGGCCTCATGGACGTTAAAGAACATCAGTAGGAATATTGCTGGCTGAAAAGTACAGTATAGGTTGTAGCATGTTATCATCCAGACCTGGGCATATGAGATGATGTAATGAACCAGGCTGATGATGTTGGTGTCCAGGCTCTTCTGGATGTACTTCCAGTCAAACTCCATGCCCTGGGCTCCAACTCAGAGGGGATGCAGTGGGACATAATGAGCTTGGCGGTGGCCCAGCCCAAGGCAGAACCATGATCTTATACTCTCCTTTGCGCACATTCCAGGACCTGACAAGGTTTAGGCCTACCAGAATTGCCGCATCCATGCTGACCTTCATAACACCCCAAGAAAGTCATAGATGCTGCCTTCCCAGGTAGGAAAAAAAGTGGTCAGGAACAGCATCTTGCACAGCTGCATGAAGAGGTAGGTGACCCTGGTCTGTGCACATTTCTAGAAGGCATTGTACTCAGGCATTGTACTTGTTTGTAGGTGATGAAGTAGGGGAAGTAGGCCAGGGTGAAGTCATTCCCAAAGTGGAATAGGGTCATGGTGCCAACCTCCTGGGCCCACTAGAGTGCAGGTCTCTGTCTCAGCTGGCCTGGCACCCATTCATGTGTAATATTAGATGGAAAGATAGGAGGGTGTAAGATATATATCTTATAGTCTTATATATATCTTGTCTTTTATAGTCATCAAAGCTAGTAATTACACTAGGGAGAAAGATGTAGAAGTTAGTGTTCAAAAGAATATACAAAACTAAAATTTGATTAAACCTCATGACAACCACTACTACATTACAACTTTGCCTCATCACAAGACCCTCAAAAAAGGTATATGAACTTAGTTTTATTCGAAAAGAGTACATTTTAACTAGATAACTATGAGTAGGAAGATGATACACAGGGCAGGAGTGGGGTAGGCCTTACCCATGTGCCCAGGTAAAGGCTTGGATTGGTGTATCTAATGGCAGGGACTGTGGCTTCTCCAGAGTCTTCTGTGAGTACAAGGACCAGCTCTATGGCTGCTAGAATAAGAAGAAAACCAACAAGCACCTGAGAAGAAAAAAGATCATGGTTAAGAGGATATCATGCTTTAGAATAGAATGGTCTTGATAATAGAAAATATGAATGGTATGAAGGGATTCAGAGAACACAAATACTTCTGGCATCAACAAATACATGTAGTTTAAGCAATGGAATGAAGTTCAATGTATACTAGGATAGGTTTTTGAGGAATGCTGAATGAGTATATTTAAAATATGTTCACAAAGTTATATACAGTAACATGTCTATTTTAAAAGTAAGTGACGTGAACAGACAATTCATAAATATGCTCAACAAATGAAAAACATCAGTTGCGTTAGTACTTCTAGAAATACAAAGTGGGCACCTGGGTGGCTCAGTTGGTTAAGTGTCTGCCTTCAATTCAAGTCATGATCTCAGGGTCCTGGGATCAAGTCTCTCTGTGTCTCCCTTTCCCCTTTCCTCCTGCCCCACACCCCTGCTTATGCTCTATCTTGAAAGAAAGAAAGAAAGAAAGAAAGAAAGAAAGAAAGAAAGAAAGAAAGAAAGAAGAAAGAAAGAAATGCAAAGTAAAACAATAGTATGCCATTTTTATATATAAAAGAAAAATATGTTATACTCAGTGCTGGCAAGGGTGCAGAGACATGAACTTTAACACACTTTTGATGAGAATATAAATTGGCAAAAAGCTTCCTAAGCTATTTTCAAAATGGGATCCCTGAGTGGCGCAGCGGTTTGGCGCCTGCCTTTGGCCCAGGGCACGATCCTGGAGACCCGGGATCAAATCCCACGTCGGGCTCCCGGTGCATGGAGTCTGCTTCTCCCTCTGCCTATGTCTCTGCCTCTCTCTCTTTCTGTGTGACTATCATAAATAAATAAAAATTAAAAAAATTAAAAAAAATTAAAAAAATTTTTTCAAAATTTTTATAGGTTTCAAAAGCCTTAACTGCTCATATTCTTTGATATAGTAATTCCACTCCTAGGAAGCTAATTCTAAGGGAACTCTGAATTTCAGTAAATACTTCTACACAGAATTTTTTTTTTTAATTTGTTCATGAGAGAGAGGCAGAGAAATAGGCAGAGGGAAAAGCAGGCTCTGTGCAGGGAGCCCAATGCGGGACTCAATCTCAGGACCCGGGGATTGTGACCTGAGCCAAAGGCAGACACTCCACCATTGAGCCATCCAAGTGCCCCGATTATGCACAGATTGTTAACTAGAGTCTCCATTTTAGTAGTGAAAGTATTTATAAAACCTAAAATAACCCAAAGAAGTGGTGGAGAGGTTTGTTGGGAGGAATTAATGTTGCAAGAGTTAATAAAATAAGTTATATCCTCCTGTGATGAGCTATTATGTAGCTGTCAGAAGGTAGAGGAGGGTCAGTAATGTATCCTCCAGGCTGAGAAGGTGCTTTCACATGGAAAAATGAAGCATATCATTCTATACCATTTACATGGTTTTATTCAGTCAACTTATCCACAGCGGTAATCAGGTAGGTGGACAGATGGACAACACAGGGCATATGCAGCTATTCTCCACCCTAAATTCCCCCATCCATTTCCCACAGCCATCCAGACCTTAATCTCCAGCTTTTATAGAGTGAGGGGCATGTTGGTGAGGTCACATGAGAGTTATCTAAAGTGATACCATCTGTGCACTAGGAGGGCCTTCTATTAGTTACCTAAAGTGCCCAGAGGGGAGAACAAATGAAGGGCCAAAGATGGAATCAGTGTTGTCAGCACTCCTACACTCCATCCCCAACATTTTATGGCCTGCACAATCTTTACACACCATTCACGATGAGCCGAGAGCCAGATAGCAGGAGGGACTTGCATTCCTATACCAGAGCAGCTATACAGACAGCAACACATGACCCCCCAGACCTGGTAAAGAGGTCCTTTCCTCAGACCCCACAGATGAAGCAACTGTGAACTTCAACGTTAAGAGGTAGCCCATGACAGGTAAACATTTCCTGATACAACAGGAAGGAACATCTGCAAAACCCATAAGAAATGCTTTATGAGTTAAAAATAGACCTGCCCTATGACCCAGCAATTGCACTATTAGGGATTTACCCCAAAGATTCAGATGCAATGAAACGCCGGGACACCTGCACCCCGATGTTTCTAGCAGCCATGTCCACAATAGCCAAACTGTGAAAGGAGCCTCGGTGTCCATTGAAAGATGAATGGATAAAGAAGCTGTGGTCTATGTATACAATGGAATATTACTCAGCCATTAGAAACGACAAATACCCACCATTTGCTTCAACGTGGATGGAACTGGAGGGTATTATGCTGAGTGAAGTAAGTCAATCGGAGAAGGACAAACAGTGTATGTTCTCATTCATTTGGGGAATATGAATAATAGTGAAAGGGAATATAAGGGAAGGGAGAAGAAATGTGTGGGAAATATCAGAAAGGGACACAGAACATAAAGATTCCTAACTCTGGGAAACGAACTAGGGGTGGTGGAAGGGGAGGAGGGCGGGGGGGTGGGGGTGAATGGGTGACGGGCACTGGGGGGGATACTTGACGGGATGAGCACTGGGTGTTATTCTGTATGTTGGTAAATTGAACACCAATAAAAATTAATTTATTAAAAAAAAAGAAATGCTTTATGGGCAATAGACATGGCAAATCTTATTTTGGCAATAACATGGTAGCTGTCCAGCCCCATGAGCCAATACCACCCCTGGCTTTTCATCATTCCTTATTCTGGAGAGATAGGAGTAATAATCACTCTAGCTTCTTCCTGTTGAAAAGGAGCATAGATCAGGATTTGAAGAATGAAACAGCCTTGTGTCCAATTAAACATATTCCCTAGAGTAAGTTGAGCTCCCATCCTTCATAGAGCTACTATTTTGGAACTTTCATGGGTCTTCTTAGCATCTTATTCTACATTTCACATCGAGATCCTTTAGGTCAGTTCAGTTAAACAGTGAGTGGTGTCATTTCAGGAGGTGGTCCTGCAGGTGGGTTTTAAAGTTAGGTGCATAGTGTGCAAACAATCAGAGAATTAGCCAGCTATACTAGGAAACCAGAAGAATTCAGAATCCAGGCTAGTTTTGTAGGTAAACTGCAAACCGGGACAATTATTCAGAATTAATCCAAGGACAGTTAATCAGAACTAGAATCTAATAGCCCTAAAAGTATGTTACTGAAACATTTCTTTCCTAAAGTCACCCTCAAAGGCAGCAAGACTTATTAAGAAAATAAGCCCAGTTTTAACAAATTTGGCCTATTTACATAAGTGCGGCAAGAATAGTGGTTGGCTATTTAAGTTCTTTTAAATTTGGTTTGCTGGAATTTTTTAAGATGTTATGTATTCGTTTGAGACATAGAAGGGAGAGCAGGAAGGAATAAGAGAGAGAATCTGAAGCAGACTCCACACTGAGTACAGAGCTCAACTTGGCACTCACTCCATAACCATGAGTTCATGGCCTGAACTGAAACCAATGGTTAGGTGTTTAAACCGACCAAGCCACCCAGGTGCTTCTGCTGGAACTTCTCACAAGGAATTTCAGATTGTGCCTTTAACAGCCTTTCAAGGCCCAGAGCCAAGTCAAATACTTGCTATTAACTCCTTTGCAATGCCTATAGATTTGGGTTACTTCCTCTCTTCCTGAGGCCCCTAAAACATCGTGAACCTGCCAGGAAGTGACCTCTTTACTTACCTGGTAAGGCTCCCAGAACCCCTATATGGAAGGTACCAGGCTGATTTTTTTCCCCCCAACAGTCATTCATTGGCTCCCTAAAGTCAACCTTAGTTCCTTCAAGCTGTCTGATCACACCTAAGTCTATACAGATCTCTCTCAAATAGGCACTCAAGACCTTGGTAATACAACCAATGATTCCAATGCTGTCATGTTACAAGGAAAACATTCTTACTAAACTTTTATAAATAACTATAATTGATATCCCTTATGACAGTTTCTTCTAGTTTCACTTAAGTCAGCCACCATAGCAGCTTCTATAGCATTGGGTTGGTTAATCACAGGGGCAAGGACAGACACTAAAGTCCTATACTGTGCCCTCAGGGGTCTTTTAGTCTCCCAGTATCCCACAGTGGTAACACCCCAAGCTGCCACCCTCTGTGGCCCTTTTGCTTAAAGTGGCTCCTTAGCTCCACTAATTTAGTTGCAGAATATTCTCTCATAGTCACTTTCTGACTAGTGGCAATTTCTTCTTGGTCATCCCCAGTACATTGTTTTGTTTTTTGTTTTTTTTTTTATGACTACTATATGGACAATTCAGAAAAAACAAAAACCCCTTTGAAGTGGTGGAAATGAAACCTAGTAACTCACTGAAATGGATGGATAGTCTTGCATTTAAAAGCTTGTGGGGGGATGCTCAGAGGTTGAGCGTCTGCCTTCAGCTCAGGGTGTGATCCCAGGATCCAGGATCAAGTCCCACATCAGGCTCCCTGAGAGGAGCTTTACCTGCCTATGTCTCTGCCTCTCTCTGTGCGTCTCTCATGAATACATAAATAAATCTTAAAAAAAAAAGCTTATACAAAACTTGGGGTGCCTGGGTGGCTCAGTCGGTTAAGCATTCAGACTCCTGATTTTGGCTTAGCTCAAGATCTCAGGGTCCTGAGATCAAGCCACATATCATCTCTGTGCTGAGTGTGGAGTCTGCTTAAGAGTCTCTCTCCCTCTCTTTTTGCCTGTGCCCCTCCCCCTCCTAAAAAAAAAAGTTTATGGTAAAAACTTACCCCAGAGATCCCAAGTTTTAGGGGACCAATTTTCTTAAGATAGAATAGTTCTTACTTTAGTGCATGCTAATCTGTGCCCATGCACCTTTGCCATCTTAATTTCTAACCGTTCCTTCTGACTCTGAATTCTTCCAGACATAATGTCTGTATTTGAGGCACATGTGGCTCATTCACCTTTTTCCAAAGCCAGTGCTTCTCTGGTCTGTTCCAATTATCTCATTTGGAATTCCCATTCCACGGCCTATTGTAAGGCACAGATCAATGGCCAAACTACCATGGGGATAGCTCATTCACTTTCTCCACTTCCTTGTCCCCA